GATTCGGCCGATTGAATGCGTGTGTGTGAGAAAGAGAGAGAGAGACTCTTAAAATTGGTCTCTTAAATTCCTTTACTTTTTAATATTGTTTGTTCATCATTACAACCTTCTTTTCCCCACATCTCCCATAGAGAGAAAGAGAGAGAGAGAGAGAGAGAGAGCGACAGAGAGAAAGAGAGAGAGACAGAGGAGCTTTTCCAACCTAAACTAAGCACAATTTCTGTAAACCTATTATTCGAAGAATGGTCATCCTTGCACGAGGAAAACTTTTTCTCTCAGAAAAATGTAAGGGCATTTTTATCCATTTCTTTATTTATTGATTTATTTTCAATTTCATTATTAGGTGTGTTATTTAAATCCTTTTTTATAATGCTGAGAACCGTTTTATACAGTCATCATATTATATGTGTGTACACGCACGCACATATTGTGATATGTTCCCATGATCTGTTAAAATTGTTTATTTATTTTGATATTGTCCATCATTACATCCTTCTTTTTCTCACATCTCCCATAGAGAAAGAGAGAGTGACCCAAAATGAAACCGGACACCTCCCGGACATGTGGACCGCAGATGGGTAAACCCCTGATGTGCGAGTTCACAACGGACCATAAAAGTTCAAAAACATTACACAAAATTAATTTATGACTCGTCACCGGACAAAATATTTCTCTCACGGAGGTCACAGGTCGACATCGGAATTCCACATATGCAGATTTCCACATCTGGATATCATTAATAGGTCACGGGGTCAGCAGGACGAGGGTGGTCTCAAGGTCGCGACATGGGTGGGCCATGTGGTGGGGGAGGGGTAAGGTCAAAAGTCTAAGTGGGGGAGGGGAAAGTATTTTACTCTGACTTGGAAACTTTGACAGGTGAGGTTGACGCTTTGAATTTACAAAAAAGCCTCAGAGCAATCTGTAAGTAAAAACCGTTTAAGGGAGCAACTGACATCCTGTTGAGGCGAGAAGAAAGCAGGTGTCTCTTGCTGCGGTTAGCAAAAGGTATAGAATTAAAGATGCTGTCATGTATAGCTCTTGCTTTGCAAGTTTTCTGCAAAAGTAAGGGGGTGTTAAGCAAATAAGGACATTTTTGTGCTGAGGGGAAAACTTTGTAACCAGGAAGAATATAGATTGTGAAGCTTGTAACAGAACGAGGCCGAACATTAGCAAACCGAGGGCTGTTTCAAACCGCATTTCTGGGACTGCCTTTGGAAAACTACAGTTTTAAGGAGAAAATACACAGCAATGGTGTTGATTAATATTAGATTGGCACATGGTTTGTCTAAAAGCATATTAAAAACACCACAGACAAATTAACAACATAAAAAACTAGATTTTCACTACAGGGGGACTTTAAGCAACTAAAGATAAGCCAAATCTCTGCTTTTGTGATTTTCTTGGTGCGATTTAAGAACGAATAACTTACTTGACTTTTGGCACTTCCTCAGAACTCCGTTACCTCTCATCCTTCGAACTGTATGTGTGTGTGTGTGTGTGTGTGTGCGTTTTCATTAGTTTAGTACCATGTAATCTATAGAGTAGCTCAAATAAATTCATGTTCCATTATAAAGAATCATTGTCTTGTGTTGTGTAATTTAAAGTTAAAACTTTGCCCAGATCTTGTTACCTTGCTCATAGTTAACACAAATACCAATCTTGTATTATTATCGTTGGCCACGGAGTAGTACAAACAGAATTGGTAAGATACACTAAATTCTACTAGATGCTGGACGAATAGTTGATGAAGTGTAAGCTATACATTTTGAATCAGTTTAATCAGGTTGACTTTGAATCTTCAGATTCGAATTCCCCTCTCAAAAGAGTTCCTTACAAAATAAACGTGAATTGAATTGAATAATGTCTATGGAAAGCCTCCATAAAACATGGACATCTGACATGTCCAGACATGTCGGGACCCCAATAGCCCTTATCGTTTGGCCTGTTAAAATATTTTTTCCCCCTTTACTTATTTTGACGTCGCGATTTGCTATCATTACAATCGACCAATAACTTTTTCTTCCATGACAAACTCTTTTTCCCACTCCTGGAAAAATGTACGACATTTTTATATTTTTAGTGATGCCTAAAACTGGTGTAAATGTTTTGCTTTGTTTTATATCATGTGTGATCACAATTTATTTATTAACAAGATTCGGCCGATTGAATGCGTGTGTGTGAGAAAGAGAGAGAGAGACTCTTAAAATTGGTCTCTTAAATTCCTTTACTTTTTAATATTGTTTGTTCATCATTACAACCTTCTTTTCCCCACATCTCCCATAGAGAGAAAGAGAGAGAGAGAGAGAGAGAGAGCGACAGAGAGAAAGAGAGAGAGACAGAGGAGCTTTTCCAACCTAAACTAAGCACAATTTCTGTAAACCTATTATTCGAAGAATGGTCATCCTTGCACGAGGAAAACTTTTTCTCTCAGAAAAATGTAAGGGCATTTTTATCCATTTCTTTATTTATTGATTTATTTTCAATTTCATTATTAGGTGTGTTATTTAAATCCTTTTTTATAATGCTGAGAACCGTTTTATACAGTCATCATATTATATGTGTGTACACGCACGCACATATTGTGATATGTTCCCATGATCTGTTAAAATTGTTTATTTATTTTGATATTGTCCATCATTACATCCTTCTTTTTCTCACATCTCCCATAGAGAAAGAGAGAGTGACCCAAAATGAAACCGGACACCTCCCGGACATGTGGACCGCAGATGGGTAAACCCCTGATGTGCGAGTTCACAACGGACCATAAAAGTTCAAAAACATTACACAAAATTAATTTATGACTCGTCACCGGACAAAATATTTCTCTCACGGAGGTCACAGGTCGACATCGGAATTCCACATATGCAGATTTCCACATCTGGATATCATTAATAGGTCACGGGGTCAGCAGGACGAGGGTGGTCTCAAGGTCGCGACATGGGTGGGCCATGTGGTGGGGGAGGGGTAAGGTCAAAAGTCTAAGTGGGGGAGGGGAAAGTATTTTACTCTGACTTGGAAACTTTGACAGGTGAGGTTGACGCTTTGAATTTACAAAAAAGCCTCAGAGCAATCTGTAAGTAAAAACCGTTTAAGGGAGCAACTGACATCCTGTTGAGGCGAGAAGAAAGCAGGTGTCTCTTGCTGCGGTTAGCAAAAGGTATAGAATTAAAGATGCTGTCATGTATAGCTCTTGCTTTGCAAGTTTTCTGCAAAAGTAAGGGGGTGTTAAGCAAATAAGGACATTTTTGTGCTGAGGGGAAAACTTTGTAACCAGGAAGAATATAGATTGTGAAGCTTGTAACAGAACGAGGCCGAACATCGCGGTAGAGATTTCTCGTTTGTTATGTTGATGATTATTATTTTGAATTTGTTTATTAAAGCGAAGCCATTTCATGTGGTGATGCGTTAAACCTCTCTAAACAAGTCTCGGAGTAATTTATTTTCTTCATAACCTATTATCTGAACGTGAAAAATACTCACATGGAGCTTCAAGAGCCGGTTTCTAAGCGCTTTCAATCTCAAGGTGAGGACAAATCTTTTGATTTGCAATTGTATTTTGGATTGTTGAGATGTGTGTTGGAGTACTTATTTAGGGGGACTATATTAGTACAACTAATATATATATATATATATATATATATATATATATATATATACACAACCATTCGTTCTGGTTCTCAAATCTGATTGGTTGAGAACCGTGAGATATTGTACTGGTATCGCTACAGGAACGCCCTTTCACAATTTTGTATCACTCCGCGTGTTCTAGCCGGGTCTATGTTTTTTTTATTATTCACTGAGCTAATTATAGAATACGTTAGTAAATATAGGAAGAAACGTCTAGCTTCGCGGTCTCTCTCTCTCTCATTTGGATGCTCGTCTTGCCGCATTGTTTCTCTTATAACCTCATTATTTCTCACTAATAACTGAAGCAGCACATGCCCTTGATACGAATTCTAAATGTGACGTTTGTTTAACTGTCAACTTGAGCGTTGAATCTGTGGCGGAAGGAAGTAGTTCCGCACAAAAGAGGGTTTTATTAGGCACTCCGTTGTTTCTTGTTTAATTACACACATTCCGTCGAACTGTTGTATAAACGCAGTATCGCTCTCGTACTCGAGTGATATTGCTCATATATATATATATATATATATATATAATTTATAATTAAATAGAAATTATAAAAAAAATACTATGTAACACCTTATGGACTTTTGTGTTTGTTTTCATTTCATCCCTCGTGTTCTTTGACTTAGTTTCTGCCTCTCCTTGATTGTGTCATTATGTTCAGGTGTTTCTTGTCAATTATCCTCATTTACGTTCCCCATATAAGTTGCATTCTGTTCAGAGTTTGCTTGTCCGGTCTCGTGAATGGAAACATCTAAATTACCCTGGTGTGTGTGTGTTTGCTGTTACCCTGCTGTGGATTACCCTTCTGTGGATTATTAAAGACTGTTTATTGTATCTTCTTCGTTTACGTGCGTCTCTACCACACCGTGACAGTGTATACACAGCCTAATTATTTCAATTATTTAATAAAAATAAATAAATTACATCATAATAAATATTGATATTTTCTACAAATAAATGTCATGTCAAACTGCATATTTATTTAAATATTTTTTACAATATGTTTGATAAATTTGCTGTTCATTTATTACCATTAATAAAACTGTAAATGGATAATAAAAATTCAGATATTTTCATATAAATATCAGACATTCATTTGAATTAAAGACAAATAACAACACACAGTTCATAAATGAGAAAAGCTGCGTTGGCAACTACCTGAAATAAAATAGATTTGTTAAACTAAAAAACTAAACAAAAAAAACTAAAATGAAATAAAATAAATAAAGTTAATTAATTCAAGCTACATAGAAATAATAAAAGACAAAAAAAAAGAATTACAGAAATTTTAAATATAAGAAAAAAATATTAAAATACTACAGTAGTATATAAACAATAATTAATAATAAATTAAACTAGAGTTTGGCTGTAACTACCAGTAACGTACCCATCTGTACTAATAATTTACTTACTGAAAGTCTCGTCGGTCAGCTCCTCTCCCATGCCTTCGGTTACTGTTACGGTGTTTATGCCTTTCTCTCCTTTCATGGCCTGAGAACAATCATACAAATGTCATGTAAATGAAAAGAGCACAACCAGTCAAGAACAGGAAACCACATCTGACAGCTGTGCAATGTGTGACTGCTTATTACACCAGACATGCCTTTTTACTTCAATGATGTTTGATGATGGCATTAAAATGTCAACGCTACCTCTCTGAACTTCTGCAGGTAGAGCTTCAGAGGCTCCACATACATGTCGAAACCCAGCGTGGACATTGCGAACAGGATGTCTTCGCCGTTTATCGTCTTGCGTTTCTCCTGATGGCATCTCTCGCTGGCTTCTGAAGTGATGAAGCTGATGAACTCGCTCACACACTCCTGCACACACTCCTTGGCATCCTTTGCTATCTGAGGTGATGGAGAGAGAGGTTTCTTTTGAATAGCGTGTATAAAACTTGATTACATTTTGTAAGTTTCACTTTCTTTTAGCAAAATAAGTGGTATTTATTAAGAAGCTCTGAACAAATAAATTGAGAGGTGATCAAAGTGCTTCTTTTTATACATAAACCAAATAATACAAAAATTGTTTTATTTTTATATTTCCTTCTCCAAACCAAACTGCCTTAAAAATGACTTACTTTTCCAGTTTGTGGGATGGCATTCTTCATGATTCGAGCTACGTTGGCGATGGGGAGATAGATGTCTTGTTCACGTAGGTTATCTTTGCTTCCATTGCCATCCTCGTGGTCGTCGAGACCCTCATCACCTTCATCTTCACAAAAAATAAATAAACACATAAGAAATGTTTCTTTAGCAGCACAAAAGCATATTAGAATGATTTCTGAAGAATCATGTGAAAGTGAAGACTGGAGTAATGATGCTAAAAATTCAGCTTTGCATCACAGGAAGAAATCACATTTTACAATATAGTCAAATCAAAAAAACAGTCATTTTAAATAGTACTAATATTTTACAATATTACTGTTTTTCTGTATATTTGATCAAATAAATGCAGCCTTGCATTTATTCAGCCTCTTTAAAAACAATTAAACATCTTAATGATTGCAAACTTTTGATCAGAAGAGTAAATATCATTTAATAAGAAATAAATCATTTCGAAAAATATACGATTAAATATTTTTGTATATTCAATTTAAACACTTAAGTCAAATGATGTTTTATAAATGAATTTATTTAAATAATTAACATAATAATTGCATCAGATTTTTTTATAATGTATTAATCAGTTAATTAAATGATAAATAAATCATTCGTAATAATTTAAATATGACTTTAGGGTCACTTACCTTCTGGAGCTTGAGCTAGAACAAAGTGACTACCAGCCATATATTCTCCTGTTATGCCAAGTTGGGAGGCATCTGTAGTTGAACTGTCTCCGTCCATCTGAAAGATACATTTTATTGTATTACAGCTGTAAATTATTGATTGTGTTCCAAAACCAAGTGAGCTGCCTACCTAGACAGCATTTTTGGCCACTGCACTATTATACTTACATAAACGTATGTGGGCACGCAAAATTGAGACAACATTTTATCAACATTGATGTTCAACTAATAAGCCACTAACATGAATTGAACCTTTCTTTTATTCAGTAATAAACGTTCATAATTAGCATCTTTCAGTGAAACAAATTCCCCTCACAGACCATCACAGAATTGATTATATAATAAAAATATAAATAGATAATAAATATTCAGATCTTTTTCATACAAATATTTCAGGCATTCATTTGAGTCAAAGACAAAATAATTACAGTTCATAAATGAGAAGAGCTGCTTTGGCAACTACCTGAAATAAAATAGGTTTGTTAAAGTAGAACATGTTGTTGAAGTAAAAAAAAAACTAAAATTAAATTAAATAAATAAAGTTAATGAATTAATTCAAGCTACATAGAAATATTAAAAGACAAAAAACAACAACAACAAAAAACTAAGTAACGTAACGTTACCCATCTGTACTAATAATTTACTGACTAAAAGTCTCGTCAGCTATAAATATCTTGCCAATTATACATTGAAGGCAGTCAGTGTAGTCTAAATATGATATTTAATAAATAAAAAGCTAATTAAAAATAACATTTTGATACCAGCACACATTTTATTGGCTAAAGAGCTCGCCGGTGCCAGCAATGAACATGGATGGTTACACGCACGAAATAAAAACAAACCACACTTTCCCACTGAATCTTTCTGATAAATTGGTCAAATGAGTTATTATAACTGATGGATGCCTCAAACAGCAGAAGAGGGCAGAGAACAAGGCAGACGAGCTAAAGCAGCCGTGGGTCCGCTGAACTTGATCGTAGTAAACAAAGGAGCCGAGCACGAAGACGAGCTTTTAACAATTATGAGCAACAGCGAGCTGCTTTTCATAAAGCGTGCTTAATTTCTCATTCTCCCCGCCAACTAATAATAAACTCTCGCGCGCGGAGATTTCCATTCGATGTAAGGAAATATGGGTTAGCAATCATTGGCCGGAGCCGCTCACTAGCCTGCGATGAAGCCCTGGTTGGTTCTCGCCTCAGCTCGGCCGTTTGGTTGGACAGAAAATGGCTGCGGGAGAGCCAGTCCCTGCGCAGGACTGAACGGTCCTGGAGGAGGAGTCCACCTCGGACACTAGGTGGCGCTTGAGCCCTTCTGTTTAAAGATAAAAACGAAATGCTGTCGAAATAGCGCCTTCCATTGGTAGTGGAAGCATCCCAGTCTGTGTGACCTGGGGCCAGTTGCATGAAATGTTTAGTTAGCTATCAAAGACTGGTCATCCAGTTACATGAAAGCTTAGATTAGTCAAAGTTGAATGCAAAAATGAGACTGATTTCTTATTGGCTATGCTAGTTGGTCAAACTAGTATTTATGTCTTAATGTAGAGGCTAAGTTAATGCAATTGGCTCCAGATTAGCTCACGTTAGCTTCCCTTAGGGAACGTTATTATGGTTACCAGTTCCAGGAAACATTGAATGGTTACTGTTATTATTGCTAGGGTACATAATTCATGTATGTGGAGATGAGTGAGCTTATGTATCTCGTGGATCATTAGTCCAACAAATCGAACACTGTGGTGTTCATTAGATTATATGAAGGTCACATTAAATGTTTTGGAAATATGTTCCATGTGTCTTCATGGTTTATTTTTGTTCATTTGAATTGTGTGGCGTGTGTACACTAAGATGATATTTGTTTTCCAATCTAAACAAAGATTAAAATATTTTAATATTTAATTCATAAAAGCATTTATTTGTCCCAAAGTTGTGTATTTGCACCAAAACTAATATTTCTATCATTAATAATATGAGACATCTCATGTGTGAAAACAATCACAAATAATTTTATTGTCATTTCTGAACTGTAACACAAACTGTAATTTAAGTGTGTTTGTGTATATATACACTTACATTTACATTTAGTCATTTAGCAGACGCTTTTATCCAAAGCGACTTACAAATGAGGACAATAAAAGCAGCAAAAGAGCAACAATATATAAGTGCAAATGACAAGTCTCGGTTAGCCTAACGCAGTACATGTAGCAAGGTGTATGTATATATATATGTATATAATACACACACACACACACACAAAGAAAAACAAGTGCTAGAGTTAGAGGGTCAAATAAAGGTGGAACAGATGTGTTTTTAGTCGTATATATATATACTGTATATACATACATAAAGGATACTGTATGCAGTCAGTTTCCCAAATGAACATTATTCAGAAATATTTGACCAATGAATGAAATAAAACAGCTGTCTGAGTTTTCCCAGAAAAATGAAAAACAAGAAAAAAATTATTAATGTTGTCCTTTTATAATAGCATGCATATCTCAATGATAAAAGCAAAGGTATCAAAAAGACACATTATTTGTAATAAAAAATGTATTCAACTGTGGATACTAAATATTGTTAACTAGCTGTAAAGCACGGGATCTTTCAGATGATTCCTATGCAAATCATTTGTACAAATCTTCACAAACTGCAATCAGTTTTTCTCTTATATTACCACTGATACATTTTTGAAGTATAATGAATGGATAGTTTTTTTTGTTTACAGCAAAAGATAAAAGTAATAAACTATTTCAGGTGATTTAATAAAATAAAATAAAATCTTATCAATATGTCTCAGACATTATTGTGTTTACTCTCCTTAATACATCCTGAAGATTAATAAATAATCAATAAAAAATCAAATCCACATGCATTGTTAAATTGTATAAGGCTGCTTAATGCAAATATTTGGACATTAAGACCATATGATTAATAGCTTGTCACCACTCAGTGTCACTGAATAAACATTTATGTACAATAAAAACATATATTATCATATTTTTATTAGAACCAATTAGGAAATGCTATTCTATAGCACAAAAGAAAGGATAGGATACTGATCCAGGAAGATGAGTGCAAATCAGACATTTAACATAACATATGGAAACAGACAACAGCAGTTCTTCATTCAAAGAAGATAGTTGTGTGACTTGGAGAAGTGCTATTGTCACATGAGGCAGCATGAACTGCACACAGGGATTTGACTGGCATGTATGGAAAGGTTGATATTTCAAGTAATGTTCATCTGGCTGAACTGTGCAGAGAAATGGCAAACATGTAAACCAGCACATTAGACAGCGGTGACAGATCAGATCTAATCTGTTTAATGAAATTGGACAATGTCATTTTAATGTTTATGTCACCAGTGACATAAGAAGAAAACACAGCGTCAGAAAGCCAGTGCCCAAAAGATCCCCTAGAGCCGTCAGATATGGGATAGAGAAGCTATCAGGATCTCTGCCGCACTTCCACAAGCAGTGAACCATCACATCAGCGATGCCCAGCAGAAGAAACACCTGAATGAAAGAAGATTCAGAATAAAATACCACATCTCTCCTTAATAAGATATGCTAACATCTCTTTCACTTGCCTGTGTGAAAGCAGCTGCCAAATAGAAGAAAACGAAAGCTGCAGTGGGTGGATCCGGGCTGCCTTGTATTAGGTAAATGCTGTAGATGAAGACCAGGTGACCCGACATGGCCAGCGTTGAGCAGCACCTACGCTAATCTTCCATTCGGCCCTGTCAGAAGCAAGGAAGAGTGTTTTTTGTCTTCGATCTGAAACCTTAAACCAGGTCCACTTTCCTGCACAGTTTAGCTCCAACTCATTGATGGAAATCTATTACCTGTGGCGCAAAAGCTGCGGCAGGGGCAGTAACATCCTTTAGCGTTGTCTGGAAGTTCACCCAGTGGACAGTGGAAATGAAGATACGTGGCTATAGGACTAGCCTGGATGGAAACCAGATTACCACCAACACCTTAAAGGGATAGTCCACCCAAAAATGAAAATTCTGTCATACATTTCCAAACCCATAAGACCTTTGTTCATCTTCAGAACACAAATGAAGATATTTTTGATGAAATCTGAGAGCTTTTTGACCCTGCATAGACAGCAACGCAACTGACACGTTCAAGACCCAGAAAGGTAGTAAGGACATCATTAAAATAGTCCATGTGACATCAGTAATTCAATTTATGAAGCTACGAGAATACTTTTTGTGCGCAAAGAAAACAAAAATAACGACTTTATTCAACAATTTCTTCTCTTCTGTGTGAGTCTTCGACACGTCTTCATGAGAGAACCACGTCGCATGCGTGTGCATTCCTCTGCTTGTAAACAAGCCGCAGTGAATCCGTGTTCTACGTCAAAACGCCAGCTCCTGTGTCAGCAGCACCACACACATGCGTTGTGGTACTGACATGGAAGAGAAGAAATAGTTGAATAAAGTCGTTTTTTTGTTTTCTTTGTTCTCGTAGTTTCATAAAATTTCGGTTGAACCCCTGATGTCACATGGACTAATTTAACAATGTCCTTACTACCTTTCTGGGCCTTGAACGAATCAGTTGCATTACTGATGGAGGGTCAGAAAGCTCTCGGATTTCATCAAAAATATCTTCATTTGTGTTCTGAAGATGAACAAAGGTCTTACGAGTTTGGAATGACATGAGGGTGAGTAATTAATGACAGAATTTTCATTTTTGGGTGAACTATCCTTTTTAGGAAAGGTTAAAAAGAAAAGATATGTATAAAATTTTAAATAAACAGTTAGTTGATTGGAACATAATATCAGTTCAGTCTTACCCACCATTTATAGCAGGACTGTAGAGAACAACTCCTTCAAGCTTTGGATTTGCAATGGTACGGTCCAGAATCAGTCCTCCAAGACTGAAGATATGAAACAAAAACCAACATAAGCTGGTTGTACCAATATAATTGGTATAGTTGCACCATCACATGCTAGACTTATACTGATGTACCAAGAGAGAACATTTACCTGCTAATCACCATTGCAGTTATTATTGGCTCCCAGCTGGAAAGCAGCAGTTTTTGGCTTTCAGGGTGCCGAAATGATAGAATTACCCACACCGGCGTCAGACACAGGAAAACAACACACCCCAGGTAGGTAATATAAGGGTAAGGTTCTTCTTAAAGCTCATAAATGCCCATGAACTCATTTGGCACACGTTTCTCATTAGAAAACCGAGGACAGACTAAAATAGGGCTGCACGGTATATGGTTAAGAACGCAGCCTTCAGGCTTTTGCGGTTCAACTGACTGGCATATAATAATGCATTCATTTGTACAATTAGCAGGGAAAAAGTTGTTCCATAACTTGGGTTGTCGCTGTGCTTTATGGCGCCACTGGCATGACAGAGTGAGAACTGCAAGTCAAAAGTCACTGATTTTTGATACATAAGAAAAGACATTCCTTTTTAATAGCAATATTTCTATTTTGATACATTTACTCAAATGCAATATTTCTCTTCTCTTTCATTTATTTAATCAAAATGATGACATTGCTTTATCATTCTTCCAAAACCACCTGTCCTCAGAACATTACTCAAAAGTTCATATACTAATATATATTATATATTGCAGCATATATATCTTAAAATGTATATGTAACTAACAACATAAAAACGTAGATGTTGGACTAAATACACATCCGGGCATTTTCGTCATGCTTTTATTTTGAAATTCGTCCAGTAGCGTAACCGGAAGTTCGCTTTCCTGTGCAAATCATGTGATTCCCAGCACAGCAGCCCCTCCCCTCACTCTCACTGTGCGGTAACCCCCAAACAGACTGACCTAATGGCAGCTCTCTGAAAAGCCCAGTCCGTGTCGTTTCTATCAGGATGGCTGTGGATTCATTATCTCCTGACTGGGAGTTTGATCGCTTTGATGATGGGTCACAAAGTAAGTAACGCGTCTGACCGGAGTGTTACTGCTCATTTGTTGTGTAAAAGATGCATAAATCCTGCAGCTAGCTGTCAGATGACCAGGGGAAGTGGCCAAGTTCAAGCACGCTGATTAGATTAGTGTGTGTGGTCTTTATTGATCTCACAAAAAATGTGATAAGGAAGTCTTTTGCTTTCATTTGAAAGTGTTCCCACATCGTTGCATTGGAGGATTGCATTTCTTTGAATGCAAACATTGATTATTAATTGATTGACCAGTGAATTCAATGCTCAGAATAATATTAATAATTAATTATTCTCTTTATAGTATTACATGTTATATATATATATATATATATATATATATATATATATATATATAAAAAAAGTGCTGTCAAACGATTAATCGCATCTAAAATAAAAGCTGCTTTTTTAACGTGTGTGTTGTGTATATTTATTATATATATATACACACACACAGCATATATTTTGAAAATATTTACATGTATATATTTATATCATATATACAACATTACATATTTTTCATAAATATATACATAAATGTGTGTGTATTTATATATATACACACACACATAAATATACACAGTACACACACACACATACATCTCAATAAATTAGAATGTCGTGGAAAAGTTCATTTATTTCAGTAATTCAACTCAAATTGTGAAAGGTGGTATGGAAGCCCAGGTTTCTTTGACAGTGGCCTTCGGCTCATCTGCATTTTTTGGCCTCTTGTTTCTCATTTTCCTCTTGACAATACCCCATAGATTCTCTATGGGGTTCAGGTCTGGTGAGTTTGCTGGCCAGTCAAGCACACCAACACCATGGTCATTTAACCAACTTTTGGTGCTTTTGGCAGTGTGGGCAGGTACCAAATCCTGTTGGAAAATGAAATCAGCATCTTCAAAAAGCTGGTCAGCAGAAGGAAGCATGAAGTGCTCCAAAATGTCTTGGTAAACGGGTGCAGTGACGTTGGTTTTCAAAAAACACAATGAACCAACACCAGCAGATGACATTGTGAGATGCACGTGTATTATGTAAACAAAAACTTTTATTTTGGATGTGATTAATCGCGATTAATCATTTGACAGCACTAATATATATATGTATATGTACATGTGTATATATGCATGTGTGTGTATATATATATATATATATATATATACACACACACATACATACATACTTATAGCATCAACAATAATTATTGTTATTGATAAAAATTCTAAAATTTAGTTTCTCACAAATCAGGAAGGAAGTCATTTGAAAGATCTTTTATTTCTGGTTTTGTAACTCTTGATCTGTAGCATTTGGTTCCTTCCTGTGCAGAAATTCACACAAAAGTGCAGGTTAAAAACTATGAGAAGTTCTTAGAGGAATATACCGCTCAGCTCCAGGGTATTGAAGAAGCACTGGACGACTCTGTGGGAGATGTATGGGACTTCACTCTGGACCCTATCGCTTTGAAGGTGTTGTGTCATGACTTACAGCTTCATAACAGTGTTTATTTTTTCATGCCAAATCACTCTCCTTGCTCTGTCACACCAGCTCCTGCCGTATGAACAGTCCTCACTGTTGGAGCTCATCAAGACAGATAATAAGGTATGAGTATGAGATGTTGAACAGTTTGCTGTTTACGATGCTGCAGTTTACATGTGATGTGAATACTGAATGAGAATTAGTTTATTATGAGTTTACCTGTTGCTTTTTTCTCTTCTTCTTCTTCACCAGGTGCTTAATAAAGTTATCACAGTGTATGCAGCTCTTTGCTGTGAAGTTAAAAAGCTGAAATATGAGGTAAGTGGAAATATATGACGAGACATGTATAATGTTTTCAGTTTCAAATAAATGCTGTTCTTTTGAACTTTCTGTTTATAAAAGAATCCTGAAAAAATGTATCCCGGTTTACAAAAAAATATTAAGCAGCACAACTATTTTCAATATTAATTATAATAATAATAAAAAGAAGAAATGTTTCTTAAGCATCAAATCAGCATATTAGAATGATTTCTGGATCATGTGACACTGAAGACTGGAGCATTGTTTTATTTGGTTGTATGTTACAGGAGCTGTCCTGCTTTGTATCGCGCTGCTTTGAAGTGGTGGTCAACATAGTTCACCAGCTGGCTGCTTTGTACATCAGCAACAAGTGAGAAATTTCAAATATTCTCATATTATGTGGATGGTTATGTGACTGCAGTGTTGCTAATTTGTTTTTGTTTTTTTATGTCACAGGAGTGCAACAAAAATCATTGAGTCCACAGGTGTACACTTTCAGGTAATTTTCATTTTCTCTGTCCTCTTCATATGGTTGTTCACTGCAACCGTCTTGTAATGATGGTTTCTCTTTGTCTACAATCAGACAGTGTACGAGCATCTGGGAGAACTTCTGGTGGTCCTCATCACCCTGGATGAGATCATGGAGAACCATGCCACACTGAAAGATCACTGGAAGATGTACAAAAGGTGAAGTGGGACCTTTTAGATGTTGAACTGCTCTGTAAAATGTAATGTTGGAACTGAAGACAGAATGCAGGCCTTTAAAGTATGAAATGTTTTAAATTGCGGTTCTTGATTTCTTACCACAAATTCTTTGTTGTTGTTTGAAGGTTACTGAAATCTGTCCATCATAACCCAGCTAAGTTTGCCATTTCAGAGGAGAAACTAAAACCCTTTGAGAAGCTTTTACTGAAGCTAGAGGGTCAACTGTTGGACAGCATGATTTTTCAGGTCTGAAGTGTCCCCAGACTTCCTCATTTTCTGTTTTTGTATTTTAAAGGGGTCATATGATGCGATTTCAAGTTTTCCTTTCTCTTTGGAGTGTTACAAGCTGATTGTGCATAGATAAGATCCCTGAAGTTGCAAAGACTAAAGTCTCAAAACCAAAGAGATATTCTTTCTGCTATGAGAAACATAGCAGTGTGGGCATCGAGGAGAGTCGAAGTCAGGTCAACTTTATGGTAATGAGCTATGACGCGATTCGGTCCTCCGCTTGAGAGGATTCCAGAGAACGCAGTCCTGTAAACTTTGGTTCTGATCACATTAGTTCCCAAGCATTTTCGTGCTAGAAATGCAATTAATTTGCTCAAAACAACACTGATTTGACCAATTGCATTAAGGCTACACTTCAACCAGGGCTGCATTTCCCAAAAGCATCGTAAGCTTAAGTTGATAATAGCTCCATTGGTGGCAATAGGTCTACGATGCACTTAGGCTTACGATGCTTTTGGGAAACGCAGCCCAGGACAGTTTGTAATGCTCACAAATTAAAGGGTTCTCCCAAAAATGAAAATTCTGTAATTAATTACTCACCCTCATGTCGTTCCAAACCCATAAGACCTCCGTTCACCTTCGGAACACAAATTAAGATATTTTTGGTCAAATCTGAGAGCTCCCTGACCCTCCCATAGACAGCAATGCAACTGCAATGTTCCCAGGTTACTTAAGTTAAATAAATATAACTAAAGTTTTTCTTTTTCATGCAGGCTTGTGTGGAGCAGCGGTTTGATGACCCAGGAGAAGGTGTATCGGTTTCTAAAAACAGTGCCTTTGCAGAGGAATTTGCATACAATATCAGAACCATTTTTGCCAACGTTGAGTCAAAGCTTGGTTTGTATTTGTAATTAACCTAAATGAATTCAAAATACCATTAACGAGACATCTCGGCTGTTGCCAACAACCGTTATGATCCATTTGACTTGCAGGAGAGCCGTCAGAGATTGATCAGCGAGATAAATATACAGGCGTATGTGGCCTCTTTGTGCTGCACTTCCATATATTCAGGACCGTGGACAAGAAGATCTACAAATCCCTGCTGGATGTGTGTAAAAAGGTGAGTACACTAACTAGTGGGAACGAGTGGATTGTATAGATCTGCTCATTCAGTCATTATGAAATTTCCCTGCTCTCTCCTCCAGGTCCCTGCTGTGACATTAGCAGCTAATATAATCTGGTTTCCAGACACATTTCTGATAAGCAAAGTCCCTGCGGCAGCTAAACTGATGGACAAGAAGAGCATCCAGAGCATCCGCAGCAGCAGAGATGCATTCCTGCAGCAAAAGGCACAGACACTTATGAAGTAAGACATACACGCTTTTGATATGATTCATAAATCAATTATAATTTAGCCTAGTAAAATGTAATGGTCATTGTATTTGCCATCATTATAAATATGTCATTTAGGGTTCCATGTATGTGTTTCTATGCAGGGACATGCAGTCCTACTATATATTTGCCACCTCCTGGATGATGAAGATGGAGTCTATATTATCAAAAGAACCGAAACCAGACAAACTGTCTGAGGATTTGAGCAACAGGTGTAATATCTTTGTGCAGGTAGAGACTGGTGTTTTCTTCTTTTCTGTTATTTTTTAGATTAAAGTGTTCTTTATAGAGTTGGAAATTCATTATTTTTTTAATTACGTTACATTTCCAGTGCAGTGACTGCTTCATAATCAGGTGTTTGTGTTTCTGTAGGGAATCCTGTATGCTTACAGCATCAGCACCATCATCAAGACTACTATGAACATGTACATGTCCACGCAGCGGCCCATGACCAAGACCTCGGTGAAAGCCCTGTGCCGACTGGTGGAGCTGTTAAAAGTAGGTCGATGAGTCAAAATTATATTCAACAGCAAGTACTTCAGTATTTATACACATTTTTTTCAGATTTTCATTTGTGTCTTTTATATGTATTCAAAACATACAATTTATGTATTTATTTTTGTTTATATTAATTTATGTGATAAATGTACTATGTAGTGTACATTACCTTTAGCAGTTTGCACTATATATATATATATAGCCCTAGAGTGTTCACTACAAATCTAGTATACGATAATGGGCACAATAATTTAAACACTTAATTTAGTACATCATTTTATACATTAATAGTAGTGTTCACTACATATCTAGAATATTGGTTGTACTGTGCACAAAAATGCACTATACTGTATATCTAGTACTGGGTATTGTGGACAATAGTTAAGATACTAGTAGTAGTTTGCACTACTGTTTTAGTTCTTTCATTGTAGTGCTCACAATTTAAACACTAATGTGTGCGCTACAAATTTAGTACATTAATTGTAGTGTGCACTATCATTTGGACACTAATAATGATGTGCTACATATAGTATGTTCACTACATGTAGTATGTTTGGTTTAATCTGCACAAAAATCTTTAAAACATTATTAGTAATCATTAATATTGTAACGGAGCTGACAAGACGTGAGACGTGCAGATCCATATGCAAGCTCTTTATTAGGAGAAGATAGAGACGTGGTCATAAAACAGGCATGGGTCAGATAATGGCAGACAGGTATATGGCGGGCAAAACACAAGAATGGTCCTAGGGGTAGCGTAGGTCGACTGTGCTGAGTGCAATCAGTGCAATGACTGATGGGATATGTAGCCCAGGGTGCTATGCAACAGTTTGTGTTGTGCGAGAGTCAATGTAATGGAAAGGGTGACCTCTGGTGGTGAATAAACGGAAGTCCATGGACCGAATTCGTGACAGAGCCCCCCCCCCCAAGCCTTACAGTGAGCAGAGGCTGGATGTGCTGTCGGCTCTGGTTCTGGCTGAGAACACTCTGAACGGGCCCAGCACCAAAGAGAGGAGACTGATCGTGTCTCTGGCTCTCAGTGTTGGCACTCAAATGGTGAGTATGGATAAACAGTGTAAATTAATGGCCATTTCATGACATTTGCATATAAAGTATTAAAATAAATTCTGTCAAGAAGCCTTCAACACAAGCTTTGAGTTTCCAGTCCGTTTGACTTTGTTGTAAATTGCCCAGGGTGTTTATTTTTTTTAATAATAAAAATGTTATTTATTTGTTTGTTTTTGTTGTGTTTTTGATTTGTCTTGTGTTTTTTGTTTGTTTTGTGTTTTTATGTTTTTTTGTTTTTATTGTCTTTTTGTTTTGTTATTTTTTTAATTCTGTTGTTTTTCGATGTTTTGTTTTGTGCAGAAAACCTTCAAGGACGAGGAGCTCTTGCCTTTACAGCTTGTGCTGAAAAAGCTAGACTTAATCAGTGAATTAAGAGAACGGTAAGCCCTGAATTAGTTCAACTAGTTACGATTAGCAATAGCAGATTTTGATTCTGTGACTTCTGTGGCTTTGTTGTAATGGCATGATGGGATATCCTCTCTCCTCAGAGTCAAAGTGCAATGCGACTGCAGTTTCCTGTACTGGCATCGTACAGTTTTTCCTATCTACCTGGATGACGTGTACGAAAACGCTGTGGATGCGGCCAGAATTCATGTAAAACTCTTAACACTATCTATTCTTAAAATGCACTTAACATTTTTGTTAAACATAAACATGTTATTTAAATATGCATATATTTTCTCTAGTACATGTTCAGTGCGCTCAGAGACTGTGTGCCCACCATGTTGCACGCCAAACACATGGAGTCATGTGATCAGCTGCTGAAGTGTTATGACACTGCGATCATGGAAATCCTCAATGAGGTAAAGCAGAGTGCTGGCTGCATATCTTTTTGTAGTAATTTTGCATTTTAGTTCATTTGCATGCTTTTCTGATTGTTAGCACCTGCTAGACAAGCTGTGTAAGGAGATCGAGAAGGACCTGCGCTTGTCTGTGCACACACACCTCAAACTGGACGATCGAAACCCTTTCAAAGTGGGCATGAAGGATCTGGCTCATTTTTTCTCTCTCAAGCCCATTCGCTTCTTCAACCGTTTCATTGACATCAGAGGTAGGGCAGATAAAAGACTGAATGAATGAGTTACACTATATGTGACCCTGGACCACAAAACATCATCTGAAAGCTGAATAAATAAGCTTTCCATTGATGTATGGTTTGTTAGGATAGGATAATATAAGTATATTAGTCGAGATACAACTATTTGAATATCTGGAATCTGTAGTCCAAATGAAGTTCTTAGCAATGCATATTACTAATCAAAAATTAAGTTTTAATATATTTACAGTAGGAAATTTACAAAATATCTTCATGGAACATGATCTTTACTTAATATCCTAATGATTTTTGTCATAAAAGAAAAATCAATAATTTTGACCCATACAATGTATTTTTGGCTTTTGCTATAAATATACCCCAGTGACTTAAGACTGGTTTTGTGCTCCAGAGTCACATATATAGTGGACATAATCAATACTTAAAAGGGGAAATGTTCTACATGTTTGTCTTTTGTCTGCGAAGTTCACTTAGAATTTTAGTCAATGTTAATTTCCATTCAGTGACTTAAGACTGGTTTTGTGCTCCAGAGTCACATATATAGTGGACATAATCAATGTCAATTAAAAGGGGAAATGTTCTACATGTTTGTCTTTTGTCTGCGAAGTTCACTTAGAATTTTAGTCAATGTTAATTTCCATCAAAAATGAAATCATAAACAAGAAGTTTTTGCTACTACTACAAATGGGGGGAGTTACAAAATGTATTTTAAGCACTGCCAAAGTCAAAGTTTATTATTATTATTTTTGCTTTACAGTAGATTCAGATTTAGTAAAGTGAATGTGAAAAAAGTGAAATATACAATCCTTATTCATTAATATATATATATATATATATATATATACACACACACACACATGCACACACACATTTTATAATAGTATATATGTATAATAGTATTCAAAAATATATATGTAGTATAGATAAACAATATTGAAAAAATATATATGTTTGTGTATGTCATAGTTGTAATATATAACTATAACAGTATATATAATAAAAATATACAAAATTATATATATAATATGTGCATATAATTATTTAATTTATCATATAATGACTTCAATCATACATTGACTTTATACATGTAAATAAATAGTTGCCTTGATATTTTAAGAATGGAGTCTTTTGCTGGAGAGCATCATAACCATGAGCTTTATCTCAAGATGTTTGATATTAAGAATAAATCCTCCATTTCCTGCAGCCTATGTGACTCACTATCTAGACAAGACGTTTTACAACTTGACGACTGTGGCTCTTCATGACTGGGCCACGTACAGCGAGATGAGGAACCTCGCCACACAGCGCTATGGTTTGGTGATGACTGAGGCGCATCTCCCCAGCCAAACTCTGGAACAGGTGGGTAGCTCACCAGATCGTCTCAGAAAAGAGCTGCTGCATTCAGCCTGATATCATTGTGTGTGTCTTCTAGGGCCTGGACGTCCTGGAGATCATGAGGAACATTCACGTTTTTGTCTCGCGCTACCTTTACAACCTAAACAACCAGGCAGGACTTGACTTCTGACGTTATTATTGGTCCACAAATGTAGTACTTCACTTGTGTTTGTGTAAAACATCTTCTCTATTGTGTGTAGATCTTCATTGAGAGAACCAGCAACAACAAGCACTTAAACACCATTAACATCCGCCACATTGCCAACTCCATTCGCACTCATGGAACCGGTATCATGAGCACAACGGTATGTACAGATCCTGTCAGGACGGTCCCAGCTAACAAAAATACAAACATTTTGCTAACATTCCCATTAAAGGGACAGTTTACCCAAAAATGAAAATGTTGTCATTTACTCACCCTCATGTCATTCCAAACCTGTAAGAGTTTCTTTCTTATGTTGAACACAAAAGAAGATATTTTGAAGAATGTTGGTAATCGAAAAGTTGTTGGTCCCCATTGACTTCCATAGTATTTCTTTCCCTAATGTGTAATTCAATGGGGACCAAAAACGTTTGGTTCTTCAAAATCAAAATTCAGTGTTCCTGTGGCTCAGTGTTAGAGCATACGTTAGCAGCGCAAAAGGTCGTGGGTTCAATTCCCAGGGAACACACATACTGGTAAAAAATGTAAATGTAAAAAATGTATAGCCTGAATGCGCACTGTAAGTCGCTTTGGATAAAAGTGTCTGCTAAATGCATAAATGTAAACAGTCTTCAAAACAGTAGCAGACTGGCCATCTGGAGCACCAGGAGTTTTCCCGGTGGGCCGGCCCAGTAAATGTAAAGAATGAATTACAGTAAATGTACGTAGCCTATCCCTCCATCGGCCCAGATGAATGGCCCGCACGGCCCACTTGAGACAAACATTCTAATTAATGTAGCGCGTTCTGGCTCAGTCAGTGCAGCCGCAGCGGCTTAAAAGCGCTCGTCGATGTCAAAATGTTTTCACCAATCAAATTGAAGAAGGCGGGATTTACTGTTCACAGAATCTGAGCTGAGGTGAGCTGCGCTTTGCGGCATTTGAATGCGAGCTGAGGTAAGATGTAAACAACTAAACATGATGAGACAATTTAGCAATATTTGCCAACGGTTTAAAAAAATGTTTAACGACAGACATTAATTTTCAGGCATGCAAACTACGTGGCCTACTGGCCTTTTCGAATTTCTCAGATTTTAATGCCATTTACATTGTTTGCCACAGTGTATATAAAAAAATTAACATAGCCGTTTTCAGCAGACGTTTGTATATCGTTATATTTTTTCTGAAATTTCACGTGTCTAAGAAAATGTTTCAAAAAACTGTAAAAATATAATTCTCAAACTTACTCTAGAACATTGTAAATCTGAAGGCTTTCAAGTGCCGTGATTAGGAAAGTTCTGTTTTTCTATTAAAGATATTTTAATGTAAATGTTTTAATGGTAGAATGTTTACATTTATTTTTTTTCTGTGATCAAAGTTGAATTTTCAGCATCATTCCTCCAGTCTTCAGTGTCACATGATCCTTCAGAAATCATTCTAATATGCTGATTTGCCGTTTAATTATTTTCAATTATTATTTGTGCTCAGTTATTAATAATGGTTCTTATTATTATCAATACTGAATACCAGTATTTTTGTTTCTTAATATTTTGTGGAAACTGTGACACTTGAACTTTTTCAGGATTATTTGTTGATTACAAAGTTAAAGAACAACATTTTTTATATATATAAATATTTTTAATAAGTATATCTTTACTGTAAGTAAAGAGAAACGTATAGAGGTTTGGAATGACATGAGGGTGAGTAAATGATGGCAACACTTTTGGGTGAACTATCCCTTTAAGTTATGAAGTTATCTTTGAATGTTGTCTGAATATTCAAAATGTCAAGGTTTTAAATGTTTAAAAAAAAACTTGATTATATGAACATTGGAGAAAACATTAAGGGAACATTCGATTTTAATGATAATAAACATAATGATAATTAAATAATGATAGTAAGGTAATTAGAACAATAATAATAATAATAATAATACTATTCTCTGACATTCAAAACATCCAGTTTTTAAATGTTAAAAAATGTTGTTGTTTTTTTTGCGATGTTTGAACATTGGCAAAAACATTTAGGGGAACTTTCCATTTTAATAATGGTTAACAAACATATTAATTATAATTAAAACAAACAACAAACCAATAATAATAACAATATCAGCAATAGTCATAAATAAATTTTCATTACTACTACTACTACTACTAATAATAATAGTAACGAAAACAATTTGTAATTATAAAACATTAATAATAATAATAATAATAATATTAATAGTATAGTAGATATAACTAAGTTACTATCAAATATATTATTATTAATAATAATAGTAACAATAATAACAAAAAAAATTGTGATTGTAAAACAGTAATAGTATAGTAGTTCAAACTAATAATTGTGATCAAATATTCTACCACTACTACTAATAATATTAATAATACATCTCTGAACATTCAAAATGTCCAGTTTTTTATGTTTTGTCTTCTTATGTGAAAGTTGGAAAAAAACATAAAGGGAACTTTCCATTTTATCATTTTGTAAACATTATGAGAATGTTACTTTTTAATGTTGTCTGAAACATATGAAACTATTAAATACTTAGACGAACGTCCAGCCAAAATGTTTCAGAAAAACATTCCATGAGTGATGTATAATGTTTTTGTTGAATGTTTTGAGGCTGTTACTAAAGACTAGGAAACTTTGAACAAATGTTACTGTCGTTACTGGAAGAATGTTTGTTCATAACTTTGAGAGAAGCTTGCCAGAGCGTTCCCTGTTAGCTGCATCTGTATTACGTGACCAGTAACATCTCATCATACTGACGGCCTGAAGTGTCTCTCTGCAGGTGAACTTCACGTATCAGTTCCTCCGCAAGAAGTTCTACATTTTCAGTCAGTTCATGTATGACGAGCACATCAAATCCAGACTCATCAAAGACATCCGCTTCTTCAGGGAAACCAAGGATCAGACGGACCAAAAGGTGCGCTGGTCTCCATTGGCACGTCGTTATGTCAGGAAGCAGTGTCCTTTTATGAAGACATGATCTTCTGTTGGTTTCTGCTGTATGTAGTACCCCTTTGAGCGAGCAGAGAAGTTCAACCGTGGCATCAGGAAGTTGGGTCTTACTCCGGATGCTCAGAGCTACCTGGATCAGTTCAGACAGCTCATCAGTCAGATCGGTAAAGTTTGTCTAGAGCAGGGGTGGCGAACCCTGCAGAGTTTTGCTTCAACCCTAATCAAATACACCTGAACAAGCTAATCAAGGCCTAAAGGGTTACTAGAAAGCTACAGGCAGGTGAGTTTTAATTAGGGTTGGAGCTGAGCTCTCCAGGACCAGAGTTCGCCACCCCTGCTCTAGAGGTTTTTAGATGCATCTGGGAACTCTTTCCTTTTGTAATGTTCTCAACTTCATAATGTGCATGCTGGGATGCTTAAAGGGTTAGTTCACCCCAAAATGAAAATTAGATTGCGTTTTACTCACCCCCGATGCATCCTAGGTGTATATGACGAATCCAGTCGGAGTTATATAAAAAATTGTCTTTGATCTTTCAAGCTCTATTGTTGCACTCAGCGGGTGTTGCATTGCTTCTGTCCAAAAGACGTGAAATAAAAAGCACCTTTCCATTAAAAAAAAGTGTCTCACACGGCTCCGGGGGGTGAACAAAGGCCTCCTGTAGCGAATCGATGCGTTTTTGTAAGAAAAATATCCATATTCAAAATGTAATAATCACTTAAACGTAGCTTGCGCTCACTGTTGTAAACGGAAGCAGCTCCGGGCGGATGACGTATGGAGGTTAGCTTTGCGCATGCACCGCTCAGAAGTGACGCACGCGGAGAGATCGAAACAAAACAGCGGTCACTAATTAGAAGTACAAAACGAGGATTTGTAAAGAAGAATGTCGGAGGATTTCGATATAAGCCAAGAGGAGACTGGTTTTTCTTTGCTAAAGTAAGGAAACTTTCCTTCCTTTGCTCCTGTTAACAAACGTTGGTTTTCACGAGACTCACCGGCGCATGCGCAGCGCTGAACTCATTCGTCATGCTCCCGGAACTGCTTCCAATGTACAACTGCTGGCGCAAGCTACATTAAAGTGATTATTATGTTTTGAAAATGGATATTTTTCTTACAAAAATGCATCGATTCGCTACAGGAGGCCTTTGTTCACCCCTGGAGCCCGTGTGAGACACTTTTTTTTAATGGAAAGGTGCTTTTTATTTCACGTCTTTTGGACAGAAGCAATGCAACACCCGCTGAGTGCAACAAGAATGTCGGAGGATTTCGATATAAGCCAAGAGGAGACTTGTTTTCCTTTGCTAAAGTAAGGAAACTTTGCTTCCTTTGCTCCTGTTAACAAACGTTGGTTTTCACGAGACTCACCGGCGCATGCGCAGCGCTGAACTCATTCGTCATGCTCCCGGAACTGCTTCCAATGTACAACTGCTGGCGCAAGCTACATTAAAGTGATTATTATGTTTTGAAAATGGATATTTTTCTTACAAAAATGCATCGATTCGCTACAGGAGGCCTTTGTTCACCCCTGGAGCCGTGTGAGACACTTTTTTTTTTTGGAAAGGTGCCTTTTATTTCACGTCTTTTGGACCGAAGCAATGCAACACCCACTGAGTGCAACGATAGAGCTTGAAAGATCAAAGACAATTTTTAATATAACTCCGACTGGATTCGTCTGAAAGAAGAAAGTCATATACACCTAGGATGCATCGGGGGTGAGTAAAACACAGCCTAATTTTCATTTTGGGGTGAACTAACCCTTTAAGGCTGAATGATTTGTCAAGGAAAAGACACAGAAATGCAAAGGTCTTCACAACAAAGCAGCAAATTCAAAGTTGAAAAAAGTATATATAGTTGTATTTAAGAATTAAATTAATAAATGTTAACATTTTTTTTCTCCTTCTCTTTCCATTCTTTTCTTTCTTGCAGGCAATGCGATGGGTTATGTGCGCATGATTCGGTCCGGAGGGCTGCACTGCTGCAGCAGCGCTATCAGGTCTCATACAAAGATTATTTGACTGAGACATTCAGATCGTGGTAATACTAGATAAATAATAATAGTCTTCTCACACAACACTTAGAGCTAAATGAGACACATATGGTATGAACATTATAAAAATCGTCCTACAGAAGTCCTCCGAACAACCAAGACATACATTAGCAAGCTACTCACATTCAAACATGTTCCAGGTTTGTTCCTGATCTAGAGGACATCGTTAACTTTGAGGAGCTTGTTAAAGAGGAAGGCCTTTCTGAAGAGACGCAGAAAGCCGCCAGGTACTGTAATTCATAATGTCAGTCTTTGCTGTCAGACAGGGAATTAATAATAATAATAATAGTAATAATAATACTAATGTGAATAAATAAAACAACAATAACAAATACTTCAAATACTAAAACAATAATAATAATAATAATAATGTGAATAAATAAAACAACAATAACAAATACTTCAAATACTAAAACAATAATAATAATAATAATAATAATAATGTGAATAAATAAAACAACAACAATAATTAATAAATGCTGCAAATACTAAGAAATAATAATACTAAAAACAACAATTATAATAAATAACTAGACATTATTAATAATAAATAAAATCCATACAATACAACAATCACAACAGTAACATTAAACAATTAGTAATTATAATTGGTAGTTATTGTTATTAATTCGAAAGCATTGTTAATAATAATAACAATAATAATAATTATTATTATTATTAAAACATACCAAAAATAACAATAAACAATTAGTAATTTTTATTATTTATTAGTTATTATTAATAAGCAAAGAAACAAACATTAATGGTAATAGTAGTAGTAATATTAATACATCAATGATAAAAAATAAATACAACATAAATTGATGATGATCAGTCTTATATCAATAACAATAATAATTTGTATTATTATAAATTATTATTAAATAATTCATTCTAAAATATAAGTTATTATTATTATTGTTAAAACATACAAAAATAACAATAAACAATTAGTACTTATTATTATTAGGTTTAGTATTTATTGGTTATTATTAAAAAATGAATAATAAAACATTAAAGGTGACCTATCATGAAAATCTGACTTTTTCAGGTTTTAAGTGCTATATTCAGGTCCCTGGTACATCTACCAACCAAGAAAACGTGAAAAAGATTAACCCAGAAACTTTGTTTGGGGAAGCCTTTTTCTGCAAGCGTCTGAGAAAACGAGCGCGTCTGATTTCGCTCTCTTGGTGACGTGGCAAAGGGATCTCATTATAATATTACCGCCCCTTAATCTGTAAGTTTCCACCCACAGTGCCGTCATTTTGATTTCGCAAGCGACAACGGTGTACCAGTTCTAATGCCATGGTGAAAGTTTGAGCAAAACATGCTAACTGTTCTGTCTTTGGCTGCACAGAACACTATTTAGATCTAAAATAAACATGCAATTTATTTCCCAGCTGTTTACCTTCACAGACATAACCCACTGTTTTTGTAACTCGTGTGTTTTTAACGTAAACTTGTGTGTGAATGAGAACTTAGTTTATTACTCACATGCTGTGACAGCCGCTTTCTGTGCGCATGCTCTCAGAAAACCATATATCAGAAGTTTAAACTCATATGGTTTAAAACGCATGATTTCAGCGAGATAAACATGATAATCAGAACCAAAACAGATGTTTTTAGCAGGTCCGAGCTGTAATGGCAGCTCTATTCTGGAAAAGGGGGCGGGGAGCAGCAGCTCATTTGCATTTAAAGAGACAGCATTTAAAACTGTGTGTTTCTGCTTCCACTCAAAATAGGCATTTTCAAAATTTTATGATAAATGATCTGTGGAGTATTTTGAGCTGAATCTTCACAGACACATTCTGGGGACACCAGAGACTTTATTACATATTGTAAAAAGTAGCATAATATGTCTCTTTTAATACTAATTGTAGTAGTAATATTAATAATACATAAATGTTAAATAATAAATAAATAAAAATTATGATGATACTTATGTTAATAATAATTTGTAGTATTGTTATAATTATATAAATATCAATAACAATAATAATAATTTATTTTATTGTTATAAATAAAGAATTAATTTTTAAATATCATTATAATAATTATTAATATATAATATTATAATTATAATAATAATTATTATTGCTATAAAATAAATAGTAATTTATTTTTTATTTCAGCCAACTGGACTGTGTACTTAGTGACCTGACCAGTAACTCGGCTGAAGGAACTGAGTACTTCAAGATGCTGGTGGGGGTTTTCGCGCCGGAGTTTCGCAGCGTTAAGAACATGCACTTGAGGAACTTCTACATGATAGTTCCTCCTCTGGTGGGTCTTCAGAATCAGATCTTGGATGTGGAAATCTCTTGCTAATTGCGGCATCTCTTGCATAACGTTCATCTTTCTTCTCCCTCACAGACAGTAAATTTCGTGGAACATTCCATCAGCTGCAAAGAAAAACTAAACAAGAAGAACAAAGTGGGAGCTGCGTTTACAGACGGTTTCGCCATGGGTACATGTTTAATACAGTTATAAAGCTGATATATGTTCTTTCTATGGGCTAGTCAATATTCAAGGACCTTTTGTGTGTTTTCCAGGAGTCGCCTACATCCTGAAGCTTCTGGACCAGTATCAGGAGTTTGACTCCCTCCACTGGTTCCAGGCTGTGAGGGAAAAGTATGTGAAGGAAATGAATGCGGTGGTGAAGGAGCAGAACGTTCAGTCCACCAGCCAAGACGAGAAGCTCATGCAGACCATGAACCTGACGCAGAAGAGACTGGACGTATATCTGCAGGCTTGGGAGCATCTTCATGATCTTCAACATTGATGGCCAATGGCTTTGTTTCATCACATCTTCTTTCCGTTTGTAGGAGTTTGAGCTGCTCTATTTCTCTCTGAGAAGCGCTCGGATCTTCTTCAGAGCTGATAAAACGGCAGCCGAGGAGACCCAGGAGAAGAAAGACAGAGGTTGGTTGATGGATCCATGATAGGGTGACCATACGTGCCATTTTCCCAGGACGCGTCCTGGCCAGGATTTGTTTTGGCTTTGTTTTCCTGTTTTCATGCTTGCTGAAGATAATGATCGAAAAGTAGTTTGACCAATAACATGCAGGCATTGTATTTAATGGACCAATCATGGCGTGTGAGAAGGTGGGATTTACGGTCAAAGCGATGCAATTACGCGTACATATTAGGTGTGTTCGACTTAAAAGCAGTGCGGGTCAGACCGATCAGTGTTTGACATCAAAGTACCTCGAGAGCGTTTCGAAAGCATAACCGTCTGTATGGTACTTTGATGTCATACACCGATCGGTCTGCACACGCAAACAAAGCCAAAACCTAGATGTTTTAGGCGATATAGAAATCCTGGCCAGGACGCGTCCTGGGAAAATGGCACGTATGGTCACCCAAATCCATGATCGCTAGAATATTTTATGGTGACTTTTAGCATCACAAACACTCATTTAATCTCTCTTTTCAGAGGAAGTTGCCAAAACTGGTCCAGGTTCCTCAACGATCGAGGGCTCTCCTGGGGAAAGCAGGGCCAAGTGAAACTACAAAGGATCTTGAACGATATAAATCACTTGAACAGCATGGACTCACTCCAGATGAGGTTATAAACATTGACCCTCCAGCCACTGTACTTCTGTTGGGAGTCTGTACAGCTGCTCAAACTCATTTTGGCGCTTCGCCACCTGCACTCTTTCGACTGGAAATGACTGGATTTGGACCAACACTTCGGTTTTAGATCATGATTGTTTTATGTATCGACAACGATGTTCAACTGTTTTGTCAAGCATTATGCGCTCATGTAAATTCAACAAGTGTGATTGGTAGATGGTGTCTGTATTTTTTTTTCTTAAAGGGTTAGTTCACCCAAAAATTAAAATTCTGTCATAAATTACTCACCCTCATGTTGTTCCAAACCTGTAAGACCTTCGTTCTTCTCAGGAACACAAATTAAGATATTCTTGATGAAATCCAAGAGCTTTCTGACCCTCCATAGACAGCAACGCATGATGAACGAAGGTCTTACAGGTTTGGAACAACATGAGGGTGAGTAATTTATGACAGAATTTTAATTTTTGGGTGAACTAACCCTTTAATGTCCTACTGATTGTTAGGAACACATATTTTTATAGGATAAAACTGGCCTTTAGGATACACATTTTTTTTTAGCTAAAGAAATTTAAAGACCTAATTATAATTCACCCAAAAATTAAAATTGTGTCATTTCAATCCTGTATGACTTATTTTGCAGGACACAAGATTTTATATGTATATATATATATATATATAAAAAATTTAACAAGGGACCAATAGGGTTATTTTGTCCCTCAGAAGGAAAGTCGTACATGTTTTGAATGACAAGAGGGTGAGTAAACAATGTCAGACTTTCCATTTTTGGGTGAACTTACCTTTTAAAGTTGAATTATGTAAACTAGAATAATTTTTTCCATCAAGATTACTAATTTACTTCATACATGATTTTCTGCCCAAAATTCATTCAACGCCATACTTCTTGATATGTGAAATATGTAGCACCGTAAGCACACTAACATATTCTGTTTAATCTGTTTGGGCTGCCTAAGATATATCGCAATGTGTCCGACAGTAAAAAATGCATCAATTCTCCTTGAGCACTGTGGAGGAAGTTGAATTGCACTTGCCTTAAAAGCTGCTGCTGTTACAGTATTCATAGTGAACGAAAAGCGCACTACACAGCAGTTTCTTCACATCAGTGACATTCCATCTGATTTTCTTGCCTATACTGACCTTTTGTAAGTAAGGGGGGGGGGGGTTAGCTTCAGGATTAGTCATGCATTACAGGCACACACACAACATGCTCGTACTGAACACCCCCTTCCCATACAGAGTCCAAACACTGGTTCAGGAAAGCCGTTCTGCTTTATTACAAAGAAAGGGAGCTTTAAATGTGGTCAGAAAATACAAGATTGGTCTGTTTTTCGTACTATGGGTTTTCCCTTTCCTACGAAATGCTTCTATTCAAATAGCTGCAGCTGAAATGTCTCCACCCCCTTGTTTTTTTTTTCTTTTTCCCGCAATACAGATGTCCTCGCTCGGGCCTTCCTTGTCACCTTAATTCATTTAGTTGAATTGGTCTTTAAGTGCACAGGGTAACAAACGTGATTCCCCGTCTGGCAGCTCAACATACTGTTCACTAATTTTTTGTTTTGTTTTTTTGCTTCTACCACATAATGCCATTTCTGTTCACCTCCTAAAAACGAGGTCAAGCATAGGTACTTCTTCCAAAATAGACGCCATGTATATATATATATATAGATACATCTATCTATATATATCATGTATATACACATTCATACATACATATCTTTATTCATGTGATGTCAAAAAATAAAAAAAATGTACACGTTTATTACAAAATCGTAACAAAGACTGAAAAGGGTTCGTATTCATTCTGGAACAATGTTTCTCGGTAAGCTCACAACCGCCTGGTCCACGGGTTGTGCCCAACAACGGTCACTGAAACAGTCTGATTGGGATTTATTGACGCTAAGCAAGAAACACCTCACCGGATGAGCGAAACGGGAAATGAAAGAAAATAGGGGAAAACGAAAAGAAAAAAAAACACCTCCTTGATGTTAATGACAGGGAACCGTCCTTCCAGACGATGACGGGAGTGGAGCGAGTTTTCCCACATTAAAAAAAAAAGCAGAAAACAATTTTTGTGTTCTTTTATTACTAAATAGTGCAACAATGAACATTGCATTTTCTTTTGCCCTTGTGTATTCACATGTATTGGATTTGTCTTTGTGTCTGTCCTGTTTGTTAGCGCAGCGCACTTCGGAAAACAAAGTGCGAACTGCGCTTTTCTCTTGAATACCAATGGATGAGTTTGTGTGCTGTACTGCAACTTCAAAGACTCCAGGCAAACACCAAAAGGGGCTTTCCGTCAGAGTAAACAAAACATTGACCCTGCTCGAAATGAAATGGAGGGAGAAGAAGAAAAAAACGTAATAGGGGAATTTAAAAACAGAATGAAAATATACAGAAGTTGTGTGTTCGGGCAGCACATAATTTGTAAGGCAGGGCCCCTCCCCCCAGTTCTCAAGGTGGAGACCCCCGCCGCCCCCCTCCCCCTCCCGCAGTCCTAGTCCAGAAGTTGAGGATAAAACCAGGTTTTTTGTGGTCAGGCAGGTCGGCTGGCTGTCTGTTGCCGCTGACGGACTCGGCTTCAGAAGGCCTGCTGGGCCGGATTGTAATTGAAGGTGGTTGGCACGTGAGGCCGCTCCTCTAGCTTGTCGTATTCCAGGTGAAACTCCTGAGAGACCAGAGAAAAGCACAAAGCTGATGTTCACTTGCATGTATACAACATACACTTCACTTGAACGTTCAGTATAGTGATGACATTATATATTTACTAGGGATGCACGATATTAGATATTTGCCGATATGCCGATATTTTCCGTCTCGTTTTGGCCGATACCGATATATTTCCTTTTGTTTGAAAACAACACCAAGTCTCTCCTGCTTTTAATTATAAGCAAATTATTTTTAATTTTGGCTAGTTTTTAACAAGAACTTGTTTGTTAGAATTAAATAAACAATAACGAAGTTCTTTTATAATGACAGTACATTGAAGATTTGAAAATAACTATAAATAAACTACATATCAATCGCTGCTTTTTTTTCAGAAAGATGCAGTGGTAACCTTATTTTATTTTAAGATTTAACATTTGTAGATGGTCTAAAGCAAAAGAGTTGTAAAAATTCAGAAAATCTTTGAGCTCATAATTTGTTTAAAAAAAATAACATATTGCACATTAATAAATCGGTAAATATAAAATTATTTAAGTGTCATGTTTGTGATTTTTTTTTTGTTCGTGTAAGCTATAGATTCTGACCTTTAAATCAAAACATACTCATGATTATATGGCACTAATTACTGCTTTATTTAATCAGAAACAGTCTAAATATTATTTGTATTTTGCTTTCATTTTATTAGAAGTAGGCCAACAGCGCCCCCTATGGAATTAAAACTCCTTACTGAGCGGGCATTACGTGCTATTACTGTTGACTCTATCACACACTGAGCACATCATTCTGTAGTGCATTCACAGTTTAAATGCAGCGATCCAAAAGAGTGAATCTAATCACCATTCAGGCAAAACTTTCTTTCAAGAATGAGCCACACTGCTGACTTGATCTAATCACTAGCACACCCTGAGCACAAGTGAGTTAACGTATTCCTCTTATCGGCAAGACATATCGGCATAATTTTTCATATTTAATACCGATGCCAATATTAACATTTAAAGTCATTAGCAATATTCACACTGCACCTGACCTCATTTTTTGAGGTATACATTCAAGAAAGAAAAAAATAGGATACTTTTAAACAGCTATTTAGAGGCTCTTTGTCCGTTACTAAGGCATAAAAATTGTGATTAAATTTAAGCAAATATTTATGAATGATTATTTAATAAAATAATAATTGTATTATACATCTCATATATATATAGAGAGAGAGAGAGAGAAAGAGAGAGATATTTAAACAAATTAAAAATAATTTTATAATAACAAATTTCTAATATAAATTAAACATTTGACATTTTTATAATTTTTGTAACGTATAAAAGTTTAATCCATAATACTTATGATAATCTGCAAAAAAGTCTAAATTCTAATAAATAATCATATTTCAAAATATAATTTTTTCAATGTATATTCTGTATAATTTTATATAAGAATTACTATCTTTTAATATTTTCAAAATTTATATTTTACGAATTAAGTTTTGAGAGATTTTGTGTGTTATATTGTATTATGTTGATTTAAGCATCTTGCTCTATAGATATTGTATGATATTGCAGAGATGATCATATATATAAATTCACATTGGTCACCACTATTACGGACATTGTGTGTCATTACTATAACAGTCATTCTGCTGCGCCAAGATACTGACATGGGTTTGAGATACTGACATCAGGGGGGAAAAAAAATACCCCACAATGGCACAAACCAGATGTTAGGTTTAATCACTCAAGTGAGTGACTATCAGCAAGTGTCTGTAGCTGTATAAACGAAAAAGGTGGAGGAAGAGGTCCCTGAATTCAGTATCTTTACCTTAGCGACCTTCCTCCAGTTATGACAATCAAAGAAGTAGTATGTTCCTCTCTCGTAGGTGTTGGTCTTTAGCGTGGGCTCCATGCCAGGTGCTCTTGTGATCCAAACCCTTTCCTCTTTATGATACCGCCAGTCCCGGTTGAAGCTGCAAACAACAAAATGTTCCATTTAACCTCTCAACTTCCACCCGTGGTTGGTTACCAGCAAAAAGAGTCCTAGAATGACGTAATCTGCAGGACGTACAGCTCAACAGCAGCGAGGAGTTGTAGGAGGTCTCCTCCGTTCATGTAGTAGAGGTAAAACAGCAGGTCTTCACCGTATCGTCCCAGTTTTATTGCAGCCAGCTGTACAGAGTACATTATAAGGTTAGTAGCATCCACATACTACAATTTCAATGAGGTTTTAGTGAAGTGTTTATCACCTCACCTTGTCCCTTATGTGAATGTTGGTTAAGTACTCCGAGGGAACATGGAAGTCTAAAAAAACAATTGCATTTATTACTGAAGAGCCTAAATGAACTGGTCATCTCTACAGGTTAAGTCAAATGAACTCTTACCAATGTCTTGTGGTCGACATGGAGCTGAAGCCCAGGGAGATGCAAACTTAGGATACAGATTCCTACAAACCGAAATAAAATTAATGTGTGTACAAAAAGAGAACATTGACTAGACATCAGTATCTGGCACAAGAAAGTATCTTACTCCGGAGAGTTGAGGTTGAGCCCTAGCGTTGTTAGGTCGCTTCCTAAAGCCAGGTGAACCATCCCAGGGTCCGTCTCAGCTGCCCGGATGAATGTCAGGAGTCCAATCATTCCAAACTGATCTGTCACCATTCCTAAGGGAATGTTTGTTACCTTGCCTATAAAAGATGTGAATAAATGTCAAGTTTGATTGAGAGTGTCCAATGGACAGGGTTGCTACATCTTTTGATCAATTAATTTCCATGAATTTTCCAGCAGATGCAGATTTTTACATATTTTTTTTTAAGCAAAGAGCAAATTCTAGTCAGGGTTATTATAGTTAACTAAAACAGTTTATGTTACTTGAAATAAAATAAACTAACTGAAATAATAAAAAACAAAAACTTGTTTTATTTCAGCTATATTTGATTTCACACTTTCATTTAGTTCATCTCGATGTACTAAGATAACTAAAACTGAAATAAAATGAATGAAAACCATATAGACATATGAAACTAATAAAAATAAAAAAACTAAATTCCTAATACTTTAACTACAATAAAAAAAACTCAAAATATTAAAATTAAAAATGTTAATAAAAATATAGCATCCCAATAATAAAAAAACAACCCAACATCCATGGTTCAATACGCGCTTGTGAATTCGGTTTTGCGTTTTAATCATTTCTGTGCACTTTATTTCACTTCGAATTGACTCTGTTTGTGTGGGCTCATCAGTCTACGAGCTGAGATGAGGAAACTCCTTGCTGCTTGTAAAGTGCATTTGGAAAAAGCAACATAGCCAAACATCTTCAGTTGTAATGACTTGTAATAAGAAGTGTTTCTAAACCTGTTGTCCAACAAAAGAGAACATTATAACATTTTATAATGTTTTTACTCCACAACATCAGCTGAGTGTTTGAATTAGCTCCCTTTTGTGATCTGATGTGGCTTCTTATCACAGAATGAGGCAGAAAATATATTTATACTGTAAAAAAGGCTATGTCGATTAGCTATAAATATACTTAATTATTATGAAAATACCCAAGGTGGCTTGAAGAACACCGATAAACTATACATTGTCGCAGGATAGTGTTTATTGTCTTCATGTCTCATCATTCAAACTGTTTCTATTTTTTTTATTTAGTTACAGTGGCTATGTTTACGTAATTATTTCATTACGATTTATGAATCTGAATGTAGTGTTTACATGAACGCTAAATAAAGTGATCGGGTTGATGTGCGCGTTTATATGTCACAAGCTTCAAATCGGAATTGTGTTTTTTTTTTTTTTTTTTTACATGCGCACACTGCACAAAAATAGAGTTTCTCACTGTTTGCACATAACCACTCTCCTACACGGTTTCTTTGTTTGTTTTAAACAGCAGAATTAATATTTATCCATTTCTCAAACAGATCAATTAAGGTGTTTACATGAAGGCTTTTCAGTCCGATTGAGCCATCAATCCGACTACAAACAGATAATTTGGATGCATATAAATGTAGCCACTGATGGCTGAATGCCTATGTCCATAATAAGGATTTCTTGGAGCATCATAAGTTCTATTACTTCTATTACTTAGTTTCTGTGTGAGGGTGCCCTCTGGCTTCCAGTATGAATGAAACAGACATAACATGTGTTTATAGCGCTCAATAATGGCCAATCCATTCTATTTTGGGTAAAAATAGGAAAAATAATAATTCTCTCAAAAGAAATTTGAAGTAGACATATGGCAATCCATGTTCCGTTTTTAAAAATTTGTTTTAAAGGTGATATGTCATGAAAATCTGACTTTTTTTGTTTAAGTGCTATAATCAGGTCCTCAATGCATCTACCAACCCATAAAACATGAAAAAGGACAACCCAGTAACTTTGTTTTGGGAAGCCTTTTTCTGCAAGCCTCTGAAAAAATGAGTGTGTCAGATTTCACTTCCTCTGTGATGTGGTAAGGGGATCTTATTATAATATTACGCCCCTTAATCTGCACGTTTTCTCCCATGGCACAGTCACTGTTTTTTCGCAAGCGACAACGGTGTACCAGTTCTAACGTCATGGCGAAAGTTTGAGCTAAGCATGCTAACTGTTCTGTCTTTGGCTGCACTGACGAGCACAGAACACTATTTACAGTCCCAGCCTCAGAGGAGACAAGAGAGCAGTGGATTTATTGATTTATTTACTGTATATTGCTGCTGCCACACAGATCTAAAATAAACATGCAATTTATTTCCCAGCCGTTTACCTTCACAGACTTCACAGTTTTTGTAACTCATGTGCGTTTTTAACATAAACTTGTGTATTTGACAGTTTAAGCACAAGAAGAGAACTTAGTTTAGTACTCACATACCATGTGACAGCAGCTTTCTGTGTGCATGCTGTAAAGGCACAGCTCTATTCTGGAAAGGGTGGGCAGCAGCAGCTCATTTGCATTTAGAGGGACATGCACTAAAACAACGTGTTTCTGCTTCCACTCAAAATAGGCATTTTCAAAATGATATAAGAAATTATTTGTGGGGTATTTTGAGCTAAAACTTCACAGACACCAGAGACTTACAGTATATTACATATTGTAAAAAGGGTCTCCTTTAAAAAAGTGCATTTTAAATCACAAAAAACACTCCAAGCCAAGCCGAACCGAAAACCGTGGTAAAGAAAAAAAAAAGAAAGAAAAAAAAAAGAGTTATGTATTGAACCGTGGGATAACTGTATTGTTGCATCCCTAATAATAATAGCACAATTTTCTGCAAATAAAAACTGAGATAAATTTTAAAATACATAAAAGTATACATTTAAAATTAGATATGAAAATATACAATTTAATTGTATTATTATATTATACTGTATTTTATTATATTATTTTATTTAAAATATTTTATAATAGAATCTCTTTTCTCAACAGTAAGGATTGAGGGTTGGGCAATTCGTTTTTTTACTAGGCCAACCCTCAATCCTTACTGTTGAGCCAAAACATTCTATTATTGTGACAAATGAAAGCACTTTACATTACAATTCACAACTTCAGAAGTCACTTTATAATTTGTTTCATTCCCATATCATTGAGCACAATCTGACCACTGTCCTGGCACTAGTAATTCTGTACAGGTACGTTTAAGTTCTTTTTAAATAATACACCTGTTATAGACTGTAATAGACAGTCCTAAAAAGCCTTACCCAAGCAAGTTGTTTGCTATCGCTATCTCTCGTGTAAGCATTCTTACCTGTTGATGGTGAATGGCTGGCGTGCTGGCTGCTGCTTGGGCATGCAGATAATGCTGGGAGAGCTGCGGTTAGGGCTACCCAGGCCAGAGCTGCCCATGCTGTTGGTCCTGCCGCTCATGCCCATGCCCTGCCCTACCTGCGAACTCATCATGTTCCTGGAGTTCATAGGCAGGATGCCCCTGCGGAACACCAGCAAGGCCGGGATTTAACAGATCACGTCATAAATCAACATAAATCAAGCAGAGGAGATGGCGTACCTGTTCGGCGAAGGTGGTGTGTGGAGGGACATTGTTGGGACGCCTGTTGTTGGGGTGCTATGGCTCGGTAACTGAGTGCCTTGTGTTAAATTTCGGTTCAATTGAGGGTTGTTGTTGCTCATGCCCCTTATTGAGAAACCTAGTGCACCTACAAAATGAGTCGGGAAAGAAACACTGATCAATTGGTGCTCAGAATCAGAGTACATGGTGCTTCTATTAGCATCACAATGATTTTTAAGTGCTATAAGCCGTACTGAAGACTTGTACTCACTTTGCGGACCATACAAACTCGCACCAAGCTGTGACAATTGACCTGACGATGACGGCGAGGGAGATGATAGCATCTGAAAAGCGAGAGAAGTTAGAACATCTCATTTGAATTTGCATGTTTTTAACATTACGTGCCAACAAATTACACAGACACAGAAATTAGAAACATATTTATATTTACATACACACTGACGCTACAGTTCAAAAGTGTGTGGTCGGTAAGAGCTTTTCATGTTTTTGAAAGAAGGCTTTTATGCTCATTATGCTTTTATGTCAGCATTTATTTGATCAAAAATACAGTACTATTATTACAATTTAAAAGAAACATTTTCTATTTGAATATATTTTAAAGTGTAATTTTTTCCTGAGATGGCAAAGCTAAATTTTCTTCATTGTCACATGATCCTTCAGAAATCATTCTAATAGGCCGTTTTGCTGCTCATAATAATACAATAATACATGTTTATTGAACAGCAAATCAGCATATTAGAATGATTTCTGAAGGATCATGTGACACTGAAGAGTGGAGTAATGATGCTGAACATTTAGCAGGAAAATTTAGAGGAACTAAAAATCTTACTGTTCAAAAACGTTTGACTGGTAGCATATCTGTTTAAAATATATTTCTTGTTGGTCAGGTCAGTGAAGATATTGACAGTGCAAGTGAAATACATCATATTAAGCTAATAATAATTTCATATTTCATCATTCTATCAGACCTCCAGCCAACAAAAGGATTTGACACAATGAACATAACCATCAGAATGAACTGGTATTAACGTACGTCTTTCTCCGATCGATGCGGGAACATTGACGTCTGGCCATAGTATATGCTCTCATCAGGGTAGTCACTTTCGACCCCCTCCCCAAACTTCTTTCTCGTTGCACTGAACATTCCGTTTGTCACCTACAGAAGAGAGGAGACGGTTAAAACCAAGAGATTTAATTCCTGAACCAAAATCACACCAGATTATCTTTCTGCACGTCTAGTGGACATATCATTAACAAGTGCTTCTATACAGCACAACTGAGAACTTGTAATAAATAATGAATTACCACTGCAGGTGCCTTGTGTTAAATTTCGGTTCAATTGAGGGTTGTTGTTGCTCATGCCCCTTATTGAGAAACCTAGTGCACCTACAAAATGAGTCGGGAAAGAAACACTGATCAATTGGTGCTCAGAATCAGAGTACATGGTGCTTCTATTAGCATCACAATGATTTTTAAGTGCTATAAGCCGTACTGAAGACTTGTACTCACTTTGCGGACCATACAAACTCGCACCAAGCTGTGACAATTGACCTGACGATGACGGCGAGGGAGATGATAGCATCTGAAAAGCGAGAGAAGTTAGAACATCTCATTTGAATTTGCATGTTTTTAACATTACGTGCCAACAAATTAGACACAGAAATTAGAAACATATTTATATTTACATACACACTGACGCTACAGTTCAAAAGTGTGTGGTCGGTAAGAGCTTTTCATGTTTTTGAAAGAAGGCTTTTATGCTCATTATGCTTTTATGTCAGCATTTATTTGATCAAAAATACAGTACTATTATTACAATTTAAAAGAAACATTTTCTATTTGAATATATTTTAAAGTGTAATTTTTTCCTGAGATGGCAAAGCTAAATTTTCTTCATTGTCACATGATCCTTCAGAAATCATTCTAATAGGCCGTTTTGCTGCTCAAGAAACACTTCTTATTTTTTTTTATAAATCTTGAAAACAGTTGTGCTGCTTAATATTTTCATAGAAACTGTGATACAATTTTTTCAGGATTATTTTATGAACAATGTTTAAAAGAACAGCATTTATTTGAAATAATCGTTTGTAACCTTATAAAGGTCTTTACTGACAGTTTGGATCAATTTAATGCATTCTTGCTGAATAAAAATATTAAAATCAATTCACTTACTGACAGATGAAAGACGCTTTTTTTTTCATCTGTGTATTTTATCACTGTAATGCTGCCATTTAGAATGACAAGAAATGCAGTTTGTCAAAACTTGCAGTTCAGTTCTCCTCATAAAACGGATAAAGTGTAGTGTTTTCAGTACACAAAATGCCATCTGCACCAATCTGTACCATCAACATTCATAATTACGTCATAATTTGTTTCCACCATGATTCCTGGGCACGCTCCCAACTTCAATCATATACGTTTATGAAGGTATAGATTACTTGAGTCACTTAGATTATTAAGTTCACAAATTATTTTGGCAAAAAAGGTAATTCATTTTTATTTTGACAAATGTGTTAAAAATATAAATATTTTAAAAAAAAAATTTGATATACACTATCAGTCAAATGTTTTTGAACAGTAAGATTTTTTATGTTTTTTAAAGAATTCTCTTGTGCTCACCAAGCCTGCATTTATTTGACCCAAAATACAGCGAAAGCAGAAATATTGTGAAATATTTTACTATTTAAAAGAACTGCTTTCTATTTGAGTATATTTTAAAATGTAATTTTTTCCTGTGATATCAAAGCTGAATTTTCAGCATCATTACTCCAGTCTTCAGTGTCACATGATCCTTCAGAAATCATTCTAATATGCTGATCTGCTGCTCAAACAATATTTATTATTATTATTATGTTAAAAACAGCCGAGTAGAATTTTTTCAGGTTTCTTTGATGAATAGAAAGTTCAGAAGAACAGCATTTATCTGAAACAGAAATCTTTTGTAACATTATAAATGTCTTTATCATCACTTTTGATCAATTTAAAGCATCCTTGCTCAATAAAAGTACTAATGTCTATCATTTCTTTCCCCCAAAAAACTCAACTGTTTTAAATATTGATAATTATAATAATAATAATAATACATGTTTATTGAACAGCAAATCAGCATATTAGAATGATTTCTGAAGGATCATGTGACACTGAAGACTGGAGTAATGATGCTGAACATTTAGCAGGAAAATTTAGAGGAACTAAAAATCTTACTGTTCAAAAACGTTTGACTGGTAGCATATCTGTTTAAAATATATTTCTTGTTGGTCAGGTCAGTGAAGATATTGACAGTGCAAGTGAAATACATCATATTAAGCTAATAATAATTTCATATTTCATCATTCTATCAGACCTCCAGCCAACAAAAGGATTTGACACAATGAACATAACCATCAGAATGAACTGGTATTAACGTACGTCTTTCTCCGATCGATGCGGGAACATTGACGTCTGGCCATAGTATATGCTCTCATCAGGGTAGTCACTTTCGACCCCCTCCCCAAACTTCTTTCTCGTTGCACTGAACATTCCGTTTGTCACCTACAGAAGAGAGGAGACGGTTAAAACCAAGAGATTTAATTCCTGAACCAAAATCACACCAGATTATCTTTCTGCACGTCTAGTGGACATATCATTAACAAGTGCTTCTATACAGCACAACTGAGAACTTGTAATAAATAATGAATTACCACTGCAGAACAAGACCCAAGACTATATATGTTGATTTAAGTGCATTATAATAAGGTACAGGCTATTTTGTCAACTCACTTTACAACTAAATCATACAATTAGGAGGTGCAAGATTAAACTTAAATGTACTTTAGCGGACAGTCTAGTGCTATAAGAACATTTAGACCTACTATGGCGGTACGTTGATGAATAAATAATGTATTCATCTTTTCAAAACAAAGCAGATATTCGCCGTATGGTTGGAAAACAAATAGATATCACTTTCCAAACTGACACCTGACAACAAACACAGAAACAGCTTAATTCACCGGCTAAATCCACGAAAAACATCAATTACTAGCCAGATACTTAAACATACTCACATTTCCATGTACCGCAACATTATTACTAATATTAAAACTGATTCCTACATCACAATCACAGAGAGAAATATGAAATGTTCTCATTTATATAAGCTAGTTAGCTGTCTCGTTAGCTGTAAAGCTGCTAACTACAAATAAGACATTTTCGGCATAAATAAAGATTTTAATGGAAAGCAAAACACCCTGGACCATTAAATCTATATTAGTCGTGGTGCTCTAGTTTGATAACAGATGACTAGACGTGCATGATACATGTATCTATCTGTTTAAATGGTTTAGGCCTGTGTTTCGGCTGTCTGTTTTTGTCGTCATAATTTGTTTCCACCATGATTCCTGGGCACGCTCCCAACTTCAATCATATACGTTTATGAAGGTATAGATTACTTGAGTCACTTAGATTATTAAGTTCACAAATTATTTTGGCAAAAAAGGTAATTCATTTTTATTTTGACAAATGTGTTAAAAATATAAATATTTTAAAAAAAAAATTTGATATACACTATCAGTCAAATGTTTTTGAACAGTAAGATTTTTTATGTTTTTTAAAGAATTCTCTTGTGCTCACCAAGCCTGCATTTATTTGACCCAAAATACAGCGAAAGCAGAAATATTGTGAAATATTTTACTATTTAAAAGAACTGCTTTCTATTTGAGTATATTTTAAAATGTAATTTTTTCCTGTGATATCAAAGCTGAATTTTCAGCATCATTACTCCAGTCTTCAGTGTCACATGATCCTTCAGAAATCATTCTAATATGCTGATCTGCTGCTCAAACAATATTTATTATTATTATTATGTTAAAAACAGCCGAGTAGAATTTTTTCAGGTTTCTTTGATGAATAGAAAGTTCAGAAGAACAGCATTTATCTGAAACAGAAATCTTTTGTAACATTATAAATGTCTTTATCATCACTTTTGATCAATTTAAAGCATCCTTGCTCAATAAAAGTACTAATGTCTATCATTTCTTTCCCCCAAAAAACTCAACTGTTTTAAATATTGATAATTATAATAATAATAATAATACATGTTTATTGAACAGCAAATCAGCATATTAGAATGATTTCTGAAGGATCATGTGACACTGAAGACTGGAGTAATGATGCTGAACATTTAGCAGGAAAATTTAGAGGAACTAAAAATCTTACTGTTCAAAAACGTTTGACTGGTAGCATATCTGTTTAAAATATATTTCTTGTTGGTCAGGTCAGTGAAGATATTGACAGTGCAAGTGAAATACATCATATTAAGCTAATAATAATTTCATATTTCATCATTCTATCAGACCTCCAGCCAACAAAAGGATTTGACACAATGAACATAACCATCAGAATGAACTGGTATTAACGTACGTCTTTCTCCGATCGATGCGGGAACATTGACGTCTGGCCATAGTATATGCTCTCATCAGGGTAGTCACTTTCGACCCCCTCCCCAAACTTCTTTCTCGTTGCACTGAACATTCCGTTTGTCACCTACAGAAGAGAGGAGACGGTTAAAACCAAGAGATTTAATTCCTGAACCAAAATCACACCAGATTATCTTTCTGCACGTCTAGTGGACATATCATTAACAAGTGCTTCTATACAGCACAACTGAGAACTTGTAATAAATAATGAATTACCACTGCAGAACAAGACCCAAGACTATATATGTTGATTTAAGTGCATTATAATAAGGTACAGGCTATTTTGTCAACTCACTTTACAACTAAATCATACAATTAGGAGGTGCAAGATTAAACTTAAATGTACTTTAGCGGACAGTCTAGTGCTATAAGAACATTTAGACCTACTATGGCGGTACGTTGATGAATAAATAATGTATTCATCTTTTCAAAACAAAGCAGATATTCGCCGTATGGTTGGAAAACAAATAGATATCACTTTCCAAACTGACACCTGACAACAAACACAGAAACAGCTTAATTCACCGGCTAAATCCACGAAAAACATCAATTACTAGCCAGATACTTAAACATACTCACATTTCCATGTACCGCAACATTATTACTAATATTAAAACTGATTCCTACATCACAATCACAGAGAGAAATATGAAATGTTCTCATTTATATAAGCTAGTTAGCTGTCTCGTTAGCTGTAAAGCTGCTAACTACAAATAAGACATTTTCGGCATAAATAAAGATTTTAATGGAAAGCAAAACACCCTGGACCATTAAATCTATATTAGTCGTGGTGCTCTAGTTTGATAACAGATGACTAGACGTGCATGATACATGTATCTATCTGTTTAAATGGTTTAGGCCTGTGTTTCGGCTGTCTGTTTTTGTTAGCGCTCAGCGCTAGTCGGCTAACTCTGGCCTCGAACAAAAACAGAAACCAGTAAAGCCGTGCAAACGTGTCAGTGCATTCATTCAGCTACTAAATATCTGCTTGGATATGCGCACAAAGCTGCAAATGTTCATTTGGCCCTGTATATGCGATGCAAACCCTGTTGTGCAATGTATTTTTGGGTGAAAAAGGAATTGACTAACCGCATTAATTTACCCTCTCCTCGCAGATCCAAGATGGCTGTGTTTCCTACAGGCGAGGATGCTGGGGCAATAGCCTTTACCCTCTGACCCCTTAACCTTCAGTTTATTTCATACCAGACTGAAAATTGTGCTGGACACTGTCTGCTGGATATTAGACACTCTACAGGACACTTGTGAGATTTGTATGATGTTACAATGGGATGAAACAGTTAGACTGTATACCTGAAACATCAGTCTGCCATTTAACAAACTCTGCTAAGAGTACAGATTATTTTATAATCATTTAGAATACTTGTATATTTTACATCTGCAGCCAAATGCAGGTAACACGTTGATTAAGAATTCATCATTTGAGCTGTCTGACACAAAGGGGGTTTAAGATTAAGTCTATAAGGTCTGTTTCATGTCAGCAGCTTGTAAATAACGAATAACGTGTATTTATAAAGAGATTATCGTGAAAATATGTGCAAATCCTACATCACGCTAAAGGGGTTTCCTTAATAATGTTAACCTAAGACATTATTTAACATTATTTTAGCTTACTATGTAACGTAAATGCTAGTAGCATTTCAGTTCTGATCTTTAGCAGCGGAAAGTATAGTCAAAATACATTATAATCCTTTTTTTTATTTCATAGTGTTTTGTAAAATATGCTTTTATGTAACAACATACAAATCTAGAGTGAACTATAGCTATTGTTTGCTGGAAGACATCTGTCACTTCCACACGCAGTAAAAGGCTCACAAATACATTCCATTCAGTAAATCTGCCTGAATCCAGAAGATTTAAGCTATTAATATTTGTGCAAGAATGATCACAAATTGTCAAATCTGTTTTTTATGTATATTTAAATACATTCCCGTCAACCACATAGAACAGCCTAAAAGAAGTGGTTAAATAGTCCATGGAGGATTATGTTGAAAGTTTACACTTTAAATCACATTTTGTTGTGATCTTTTAACTGGCGTAATCCCATTTCTCACTTTCCGTCTGTTCCCTCCACTGTGACGTGGTACTCAGGCCCTTCAGACAGCACTTGAGGGTTCTCAATCATAGTCTAAATCATTGGAGACCTTTGATAGACCACTAATAGCTAAGCCTTGAGTTATGAGAAGAATGACTGGGAGTGCAATATCAACCAGTGTTGCATTTACTCATAGAGGTGATTTACTACTTTTGGATTAAGGATCAACATTAATTTTTGATAGGGAGGAAAATTATATCTTAAGTGTAGAAAACACTCATAAAACAATTTTGGGCAAGTCTGGTCTGATCTCAAAGGTGAACCTATTAAAATCTAATAAATGAAGTAATAGTAAAAAGGTCAATAACATAAACCTTATTTTTTATTTTGTCTGGATCTTTTAATTTATTAAAAATACATTTAAATGGATTTCATACATACGATGCCTTTTATAACGAGCATGTTTTTCATTTAATGTTTTTTAACGTTTATTTAAGGCTCATTAAAAGTATTAAATTCTGTAGAATAATTCAAATGCATATAGAAAAGTATATATATATACTATATATATATATAATAAGAGAAATATATATTATTATATTATTATATATATATATATTAACTTTCACTATCAATAATATATATTAATATATACAATAAATATATACATATAATTCAGAAATTGTATATATATATATATATATATTATAATATTTTTATATAATATTTTTTTATTTCCTATCCCTATATACTCTTAAACATTCTAAAACCAAATACTGTGGTATGCCATGTGATATGGACAGCCTCTGTTGGTTGTCCATAACTGGGCAAGTCTTATCTTTGGGGTGGTGCACTCAAGTGGTCTCTGTTATGTAGAGGGTCCTGACTGAGATAAGCGCTTAAATAGAAGGTCTCAGCTGACCCTTAAATTCCTTAATCACACGACAACTTTAGGCTTATCACAGCTCCCGGTCAGCTCCACCTTCCAGCGCTGGAAGAAATCATTTATCCGGAATGGGGAGGAGCATGTGGGATGTCATCTCTGGTGCTCTCTGCAACTGGCAGGGCAGAGGTGTCAGCAGAACACAGGAGCATGAAACACCACACTGCCGCCCATCGTCTCATACCTTGTGACAAAAAAGCTTGATGGTAAATGAAGATCTACGTTTTCGGCAACCTGGTAAGACGAAAGGAACATTCAAGTTTTTATCTTGTCTTTTCATTGTGCCATTCATAAGACTGGTCTACACTTTTAAAAATACGGGTTCTTTATTGGCATTTATGGTTCCGTGAAGAACCTTCAACATCCATGGAATCTTTCCATTCCATAAAAGGTTCTTTATAGTGGAAAAATGTTATTTAGATTTTTATGTTCTTCGCACTAAGAAAAAAATGTTCTATTAAGAACTGGTCACTGGAATGTTCTTCGGAGAAGCAAAATGTTTTTATCAATGGGATTGCTGTGAAAACCTCCTTTTGGAGTCTGTACACTCTTAAAAATAAAGGTGCTTAAAGGGTTCTTCACAGCGATGCCATAGAAGAACCATTTTCGGTTCCCCAAAGAACTATTCAGTCAAAGGTTCTTTAAAGAGCCATCTCTTTCTTCCCTTTTTATAATCTGAAGAACCTTCTTTCTTTGTGAAACAGAAAGGTTCTTCAGATGTTAAAGGTTCTTTATGGAACCATTTAGACAAAAAAGGTTCTTCTATGGCATCGCGAAGCACCTTTTTTTTAAGATTGTACCCTTATTTTGTTTCTGAAGATACCATGAATGTGGACCGAGAAGATGGGAAATGTTGTGCGAGGTGCTGTCGCCTTCGTGCCCTCCGAGAGATGTCAACGTTTCTTAGTAGGCGACTTGAAGGAGATGCCCCTTGATCGTACTCTAGACCTGAGTAGCCGGCAGTTACGTCGCCTTCCAGTCAGAGCTTCTGCCTTCGATGAACTGGTCAAACTCTACCTGAGCGACAACCACCTGAGCAACCTGCCGCCAGAACTGAGAAACCTGCAGAAGCTCCAGCTTCTAGCCTTGGACTTCAACTGTTTTGAGGAGCTTCCTCTGGTCGTATGCAGCCTTGTTCAGCTAAACATCCTCTATCTCGGTAATAACCAACTGTACAGGCTGCCAAAGGAACTGCGGCAACTCACCGAGCTTAAAACCTTGTGGCTGGAGACCAACTGCTTCATCAAGTTCCCTCAAGTAATATGTGAGCTTCCCAACATCAAGACCCTGCATTTGGGATACAACCAGCTACGTAGCTTACCGACCGAGCTTGAGCGACTGGAGGAGCTACGCAGCATCTGGCTAGCGGGGAACTTGCTAAATGATTTTCCTCCCGTGCTGCTGAAGATGCATTATTTGGAGGTGATCGATGTGGACCGCAATCACATTCGCCAGTTTCCATCGCTTGCCTGCTTGAGAGGCTTGAAGCTCATCATCTACGACCACAATCCTTGTGTTAATGTGCCAATGGTGGCCAACGGTGTGAGACGGGTAGGCCGCTGGGCCGACAGCTCTGATGATGAGGAGGATGAAGGTGACGGAAAGGTTGCCAAAGCAGGTGTGAAGGCACAGGGATCACTGGATGAGAAAGAGTAAAGAAGATCAGTGAGGAACCATAGATCAAGCAGCTATAAAGAGCATGATGATACTTATGAGTTTTTGAAACTGCAGAAGGCAGCTGATGAAATACTGAGGCCACTGCTTTACAAATGTAGTGTATTTTATATTTTTATATTACGGTAAATATAGTGTTTTGTAGATTTTTGAAGTAGAATAGAAATTACTTAAAATTAAATATTGTAATTATATACTTAATGATATTAATAATAAACAATTAGAACATTTAATAGAATTGAAATATTTATATTTAAGAATTAAAATATGAAATATTTATAGTAATTTACACATCATTTTTGTCTGCCTATTTGTAACACAGATGCTTATGTAATTAAAGGGAACCAATTTTCTTGATATGAAGCAAGCCAAAGTGCTTTCATTCTTTCATTCTTTCTTTCTTTCTTTCTTTCTTTCTTATTGTGACTGAGTTTATGGTACTCCATGAAATCGCAACATAACATTTTTCTGTAGAAAGTATTTTCAGATCTCAATCAGGGATTTATTAATGCAAAAAAGTTTTCCATGTCCGTGCAGTGAATCTGTTCAGTGAGGTTGGCCGTGTCAGTGATAAATGGTGGAATTCTAACAATGTGCCCCTGTTCATAAATAATGCAGGTTTCCTGTAGCAGATTTGGGTCTCCATTTTGATGTAAGACTCTTAATAGGTTTTAATCATACTCTAGTGCTCCTGCTTTGTAATATGAAATCCTGCAGGACACTGTTCACTGGATTCACAGGTTCAAAATCTGTGAACAAGTCAACAAAGGATGACAAATAGTTATAAGCAATTTTGCTTAAAATGGTGTACATTTTGCTAGCATATTTACTAAATTGAATCAGTGCCGCAGTCCCAAAATCAAGTGTGGTAGGTGGTAATATTTTGGTATGATATTTTCAGGCTTGTGAATTAAACCTCACAAATACATGATGCACTTAATTGTAGCTATATGTGCAACATAAAACATTAAATGCGACACTGGACCACAAAACCAATCATAGGGGTCAACTTTTGAAATTTTGAAATATACAGAATAAATAGGCTTTCCATTGATGTATGATTTGTTAGGATAGGACAATATTTGGCTGAGATACAACTATTTAAATATCTGGAATGGGGTGCAAAAAAATCTAAATATTGAGAAAATCACCTTTAAAGTTGTCAAAATGAAGTTCTTAGCAATGCATATTACTAATCAAAAATTAAGTGAAGTTTTGATATATTTACGGTAGGAAATATACAAAATATTTTCATGGAACATGAACTTTACTTATATCCTAATGATTTTTGGCATAAAAGAGAAATCGGTAATTTTGGCCCATACAATGTATTGTTGGCTATTGCTACAAATATATCTGTGCTACTTAAAGGGGTCATATGATGCTATTTTAAAGATCATTATTTTTTGTATTTGGTGTAACAAAATATGTTGACATGCTTTAATGTTCAAAAAACACAATATTTTTCAAATACTGTACATTATTTATAGTTCCTCTATGCCCTGCCTCTCTCAAACACGTCGTTTTCAACAAAGCCCCCTCCTTTGACAAGCACAGTCTGCTCTGATTGGCCAGCTGACCCAGTGCATTGTGATTGGCCGAACACTGCAAGCACTCGTCGGAAATGTAACGCCCCTTACCATAATCGCGAGCTTCAGCTTTCAAAGTAAATATCAAGACAGTTAATAATGTCGTTAGTTTGACCATCAGTTCAAGCCCGAAAGGGCAACAGAGTCGCGTGACAGACACAGTGATGAAGCAGTAGACAAGCCGCGGTTAAGACAGCTGACGTGCTATGATTTCTGACAGACAGTTCACTCTCCTGTGATGTGACCCTGTTCCCCTCACACACACACACACACACACACACACATACACACACACACACACACGACGCGTTACTCTGTGCTGTGCAAAACTCCGCATTTGAACAGTCAATAGCAAATACTTAAACTAATAACAAAACATACTTACAGTCGCCAGATTGTCATAGCAAAGACGGAATTTACACCTTTTTTTTTTTTAAATAGCCTTTGTGCACAGCCAGCCTTGTACTCTTCTAGGTTCAAAAAACTGTCGTCCATAAAATGCGTTGCACAAATTTGAACATCTGGGTTGTGCTACACAGCAGATCTGCACATTACAAATTCCAAGTCCTTATTTTCCTTTAAATACGTCGTAATTGTGCAACAATAAGATATAAACGAAGATCTTAGGATCGCAGGGTTAAATACATTTTCACCATATCCCACTGTTACAACATTTGTAGGAATATATCTCTTCGTTTTGAAGAACGACAGAGCGCCGACGTTACATAAGAACTTTTATTTTGATGGGCAAGAAGTCCATCAGCCATTTGTTGGAGGTTGGAAAGCAAGAACCGATCCTCAGTTGCACACAGGGCTGTGATTGAGAGCGGAGCTCCGTTATTAACAGCCACGATGGGGAAGAAGACTCGCGCTGGCACCGGCAGGAGAACCATCTTACAGCTCTCACCGCCGGGACCGACCCGCGGCGCGACGGCAGCGGCCAGAGAGGACGGGGTCGGCTCGGGGTCCGAAGGTGGGCGAGAAAGACATCAGTAACAGACGTATAAACCGTCGGTAGAATTAGAAACACAAAATATGAGCGAGACAAACCGTTTGAAGAGAAACACGCGCTTCTATTGCGAGTCGAAAATGAGTTTATGTAGTAGACTTACTAGTCACTTGTAATTTTTGGCTAATCCTAATAAAAATTCCGTTCCGTTGTTGCTATAAATTAACTTGTTTTAATAAACCGATACAAAATGTGTGGTTCAGTTCTTACCTTTTGAATCGCCGTTTGTCATGTTTAGCATTAGCCACCGGGAAAAGATTAACCGATAAATGTGTGCTGATATAGCTTGTCAAACTTATTATGACGTAAACCACATGAGATGGCAAGTAACGAGTTATTTCGATATATTAACGTGAATTGTTGGCTATTTAAGTCATTTATAAGCCACAGTTTCGAGTTAGCAGCGCAGCTGCGCTGGGCCTAGACAAAGCGTTAGCCAAACATGCTAACGTTAATTCACCCACACCGGAACAACAAGGATAACGTTGTTATAAATGTTTTAAAAACGTTATAAACTCTCTATTTCCTTTTGTAGACGAACCTGAGGTTAACACAGACGGTCAGCGAGAAGTTAATGCAGTAATGAAGACACCAGCTGTGAAGGCCACGCGTAAGTTATACAAGAATGTTATCGCTGCATAATATGTACTGTTATATACTTAATGAGTAATAACAAATGAGTGTGTATATACGTTCATAAAATATATACTTTATCTTAATTATCGTTACATTTTTATTAAGTTATTTACTTATTTTTGTGGTGTGTATAATAAATATATATATGTATATATGTGTGTGTATACAGTGCTGCTTGAAAGTTTGTGAACCCTTTACAGTTTTCTATATTTCTGCATAAATATGACCCAATTGATCATCAGATTTTCTCACAAGTCCTGAAAGTAGACCGAGAACCCAATCAAACAAATGAGACAAAAATATTTTCTTTGTCATTTATTTATTGAGAAAAATGATCCATTGTTACATATCTGTGCAGTGCAAAAGTAGCACAGTGCTTTCAGTATCTGGTGTGACCCAATTTTGCAGCAGTAACTGCAGGTAAAGTTTCTTGAAACTGCTCATCAGTCCTGCACAACATCTTGTATTAGTTTGAGCTCATTCCTCAGTTACAGAACCACTTCAACTCTGTGATGTTGGTGGGTTTCCTCCTGGCTGCTTGCTTCAGGTCCTTCCACAACATTTCAATTGAATCAAGGTCCAGACTCTGACTTGGCCATTCCAAAACATTAACTTTGTCCTTTTTTTAACCATCCTTTGGTAAAACGACTTGTGTGCTTGGGGTCGTTGTCTTGCTGCATGGCCCAGTTTCTCTTGAGACTCAGTTCTCAGACAGATGTCCTGACATTTTCCTTTAGAATTTGCTGGTATAATTCAGAATTCATTGTTCCATCAATGATGGTAAGTTGTCCTGGACCAGATGCAGCAAAACAGACCCAAACCAGGGTACTACCACCACCATGTTTCACAGATGAAATGAGGTTCTTATGCTGGAATGCAGTGTGTTCTAAACAGAACACTTCTCATATAAACAAAACAATTCTATTTTGGTCTCATCCATCCACAAAACATTTCTCCAATAGTCCTCTGGCTTGTCCACATGATCTTTAGCAAACTGCAGACGGGCAGTGATTTTCTTTTTGGAGATCAGTGGCTTTCTCCTTGCAACTCTGCCATGGACACCATGGTTGCTCAGTGTTCTCCTGATGGTGGACTCTTGAACATTAGCATTAGCCAATGTGAGAAAGGCCTTTAGTTGCTTAGAAGTTACCCTGGGTTCCTTTGCAACCTCGCAGACTATTACAAGTCTTGCTTTTGGAGTGATCTTTGTTGGTCGACTGCTTCTGGGGAGGGTAACACAGTGGTCTTGAATTTCCTCCATTTCTACACAATCTGTCTGACTGTGGATTTGTGGAGTTCAAACTCGTTAGAGATGGTTTTGTAACCTTCTTCCAGCCTGATGAGCAACATCAACTCTTTTTCTGAGGTCCTCAGAGATCTCATTTGTACATGCCATGATTCACTTTCACAAACATGATCAGACTTTCATAGATCCCTGTTCTCTAAATAAAACCTGGCACACACTGACACCTGGTAGTCATTCCGTGTTTGTGTGTATACGTGTTTGTGTTTGTGTGTATATGTGTTTGTGTTTGTATGTGTATATGTGTGTGTGTGTGTGTATGTATATATGTGTGTGTGTGTATATACAGTGGGTACGGAAAGTATTCAGAGGTTGTCATGTGTCTTTCCTAAAGGAAATTGATGCGATTACGACCCAACCAACCCAGACAAGTGAATCTGGGACAGAGCCGAGTGCACCAGCCCCAACTCCTCCTCGCCCCGAACCCAAAACAGACCAGCAGACTCATGATCAGAATGGACCCGCACAAGAATTTCAATACAACACCCAGTACTCTCTCGCAGGAGGTGAGCTTTCTAGTTGACTGGTTCTGTTTTCTGTATATAGTATAAGTCTTAAACTAAGTGAAAGAATGTGGAAGTTAATACTTGTTTTCTTGTGTTGTAGCTGGGTTAGAGATGGGTGATTGGCAGGAAGTGTGGGATGAAAATACTGGCTGTTACTACTACTGGAATACTCAGACCAATGAGGTGGCCTGGGAGCTCCCGCATTACCTGGCAAACCAGATGCAGAGTCTACATTACACGGGCAGGTGAGTTGTGAATAGGAGATCAACAAAAGGGACATTTTGCTGGCAGTCAGTAGTCAGTTTTAAATAATTTTTACTAGTTGGAAATTGCCATTGTATAAAATATTACAAAAGTTATTATGATATTTTATTTATCAAAAATATATTTTACATATATTATGTGTGTGTGTGTGTGTATATATACTGTATATTCATATTTTATACATTTTATAAATCTTATTTCTTTATATACATATATTTTTATGACAAATTAAATGCATAAACATTATTTATTACTTGTTAACTTTTTACTCAAATTGTTATGCAGATATTTTATACAAATTACATAATGTAAAGTAAATATAATGATATTTTAATATTTAAATGTAAAATAATTATAATTTTTTATATTTATAGAAGTTTTACAATTGTATTAATATTATCACGCATCACATTCTGGTATATTATATTTTTATATATATATATATATATATATTCGTACATGCATACATACATACAGTAGTCAACATTTGAAGTGAATCAGAACCATTCATCAAAGTTGTCCTAAAACCAAAACAATACCTGTTCTTGCCTTAGGACAACTTTGATTAACTTTTTTTGATCCACTTCAAATGTTGACGTACGTACAAAAAGTTAATCAAAGTTGTCCTAATTCCTTCAAATGTTGAATACTGTATGTATGTACGTATGTATGTATTAGGGGTGTAACGGTACACAAATATGTTCGGTACGTACCTCGGTTTTAACGTCACGGTATGATTTTGGTACAGCAGGGGGAAAAACTAAACTTTTTTTTTTTATTATTTATTTATTTTTTTGAACAAGTTGCTCTTTCTGTAAATACATTCAGTAATAGTTTAAATTTTCTTAGTGATAAAAATCTACCTCAGCTGGTACACAAATATGTTCGGTACGTACCTCGGTTTTAGCGTCACGGTATGATTTTGGTACAGCAGGGGGAAAAACAAAACTTTTTTTTTTTTTAAATTTTTTTTTTTGAACAAGTTGCTCTTTCTGTAAATACATTCAGTAATAGTTTAAATTTTCTTAGTGATAAAAATCTACCTCAGCTTATGCTTAAAACTATAGGGAGACCTTTTACATTATAAGGTTATAATTAGGCCTAACAACTTAACCCAAACTTAAACTTAATTGCTATTTATTTTTAAATAGATGATCAACACTCAACTTAAAAAAATTAGTATGCAAACATGTAAATAGCATATAATGCAGTTTTTAAATTAACTTATAAATAATAAAATTTCTAAGCTATTTGTTCAAATATATTCAATTACACAATGGCTGTCATAGCATGTTTCATAACAGATTAATTTAAACATACTGTACATTAAGTAATTAAGACTAACAGGTTTAGTAAAATATAATGAGTATATGGTGTAAAATTTCGCAAAATGCTCCTCTCTAGACTTAATTTCTCTAGTGAACTAACGAGCTGTGGACACTGATGACTTGCTGAGGTAAATTAAATGCTACGTGACATTTTATTTCCACGCTGTATTGTTGATGTCTTTCTGCGGTTGAAACACTGATTGAGCAATT